GACAGGTCTCCGAACTCGCAGAGTAGAAACCAGAGACAATGCCCTCAACCACTAAAACTTCAAGAAGTCGTCGCAAGATCTGAGGTCAACCTTGATTTACTGACTCGCCGAGGGCCTAGATGCCTGAGGTAGGGTTACGGTGTGGCTCTGTTAAATTCGCCGATAGGCCGCGCTCCCCTCTCCTAGCCGTCGAGGCTCAATTAGCCCGAATCTGACCTGCCGATTTTGATGAGGAGTGCAACATCACACTCTCTGCGTTTTATTCTTAGACAGACAGAGAGAGAGGGGCAAACCCCATGGCAAATGCAGCAGGGTGCTTTGAAATCCGTCGGGAGTGCAAGGCACTACATGAAGCACACATACCTAGTCTACAGTAGCCAGGGCTTGTGGAGGACCCTACTGTAGGCTGGCTGTGCAGGACACTGCTCGAATCTGCGCGATATCATACCATCGCCGCAAACCTACCGAGTCTCACTTACCCGCGAGCCGATGATTTGAATTAGAAAGAGCCTCTGTGCGCTGCAGCATCGGCTAGAGACACATTCTGTGTTCATTCTGCTCCGCGCTTACAGGATACAACATCGCGACGGAGGCGCCGTGCGGATGACGTTCAACCGCATCCTGAATGTCTGTGCTGCTGCTTAAACGCTGAGACTCAGTACAACACCATCGCTCGGTGATGGAAGCCACATAATCAATCGTGCATGAATGCGGTCAGCCGAAGCCAGGTAGAGCCTGTCTTGAACACAATGAAAATCTACGACAGGGCCGACTGAGTTGTGCGCCGTGCGTAGACTCAAGGATGATGAGACAGATTCCCCTCAAATGATCCTATATAGGATTCTAGACCACAAGTGCTGCAGCCTCTCCAAACGCGCTAATGCTGGCCACTTTAACGGTTGCCAACTTTCTGCCAGGCACGCGCAACTTGAAGCCTGATCTGAATGCTTGCTTGCTTTCCAAGCCTTCTCATTGGGCTTTTCGATCATGGGGTGAGCAAGGGATCAGAAAGGCCAGCTTTTTCACTACATAGCTTCGAGGAGGTGCATTTCAGCTTGATGGCATTCGCCTTTCAAACTGACTTCCCTAGTCTTCTCACCGCTCTTTACCAAGGAGATCAATTCGTCCGTAAGAGAGGGGACAATTCGGCTCAAATTCAGAAGATGGAGGCCCAGCTGACACACCCACTGAATGCCTAAGTTAGGGGCTGATAAACTAAAGAGTTAGCCCTGAGTTAGCCCATTTGCTTAGGTACCCAACTCCTATAAGATGAATTTGTTCCTGCAGTGGTGGTCGACTAAACGCTGCATCCAGACGCATTTGCCTGTTAGTGCCCTTAGCTGCCGCTGATAGCCTTCCTAAGACACGCAAATATACCACCATAACTGGGAGTCCGTGACCTTTTCCTTGGATAGTGTCGCAGCGAATCGCTTGGGGAGTTGCACTCGCGAGCCGTGCTGCACACCCTTTCCAGCCACTGCAATGGCCAATTGGCGTGGCTTGGAGCCTTCTGTTGCGACTGCGCGTGGCGTTTGCAGGCATCCAGGTTGCCAGTCGGTGATGGTGTTCTTCGATTTGAGCCTATTTGCCCGAGGCGCTTAGAATGACTCGCAGCTGCATCGCCATGTGGTGGTGTGAAGTGTGACAAGGCGTTGCGGGATGACCAATTCGAAGCTACAGAGACATCTCGAAACGATCAAGCATCCGCAGACAAACGAGGCGGGATACTCATAGATGTCTCCCTCGCATATTGAGCAAGAAATTGATGTTGTATAGAAGGCTGTCAAATCAACGCTCTGACCTACCCTAGCCCAAGTCAACTGAGGCTGAAGCGGATGGGACGGTCCGCATAACTAAGGGTATCAAAGTAGTGTGGAATGCCTATTGTCTCTCATGCAACAGACAGCATTGGGCATCACTCTAGGTTCACACTGCAACACCACTTTCTTCCAATATGAAGAGATTACTCAACATAGCCAGTTCTACCGTGGCATTGGCAGGCCGTGCGTGCTCATGGCATGAACGAACATCTCGCATCCTTGCAGCATTGAGTAATTCTGATGTCGACATTGTGGTGCACATCTCCCGCAGCGATCTCGTTTCAGCTGTCACCATCCCCCAAAACCCCGGATCAAAGAGATGGATTCAGTGTTTGAAACTGCAAAGCACGAGCCTGGCGATCCGACATGACAGGCTGGACTGTGCAGAACCTTAATCTGTCATCACAAAACTTGGTTGTGTAAGTCGCACAGCCAAGGCTATGAGTTCAAGACAGCATCCATGTTTCAAGCATTAAAGAGACCAAGATGTTATTACACGATGCAGCGATATGACAGCTCGGGTGGCCAATAACCTTACAAGTGTAAAGCGTTGCTTACCGTGCCTAGACTCTTTGATCCAACACTCTCAACTCTCATGTAGTGAGTGAGGGAGGGTGAAACGAGCATTGATTCGTGGTGCCTACTTTTACTATTTCCCAACCATGATCATCGACAGCGGCGGATGTTCTGCTGTCACGGTTCCATCTGTCACCCGTTTAAACCTCCGTGCTTTACTGAGCCATAGCTACCACCAAATCTATACGCTCTTCCGTGGGGGTGCTACGGCTTGTTATCGTGGTCAATATATGGACCATTAATGTGTGTGCTCGTTACCGGATTTCGAGAACCAGCAACTCATGGCTGCTCGGCAAGTCGCCATCCGAGCTCTGAAATCCTGCCTGACCAAACTCCCAATCTATCTGAGACCGGCATATTCTTCGCAGTGCTGTGATATACTAGGTTTGATTTCCACACTCGAACTGGTCATCATCTGCCGTAGCACGGTCATAGAATCAAATGGAGCCGCCCAGCAGACCCGGATTGTGGCCATTTCTTTGCCTCGCTTCGCTATGACCTACACAGAAAGCGAGCACTTTAACTTGGCCCCGCCAGAACCGGGTCATGACGAGATTCACCTTGTTCGAGAAAGTCTCCGAAGGTTGAAGCACCGTTTCATCGATCCTCGTTTCCGCCAGCTCCGGTTGTTGAGGGCTGCTCATTTCATGACAGCGTTATCTTGCGGCCCCATGCTGCCGTAACCCGGATCGCGATGGAGTCATCGAGGTCGAGAAGCTGGCAGGCCAGCACATCTCAATATTGCCACACGCTAGGCGTCGGAGCAAGTGCTCTATCAGGCTGCGACAACCAGAGAAATCTCGTGGTGTTCTCGGACTGGAAGAGTGACGAGTGCCCGTGCTGCAGCGGCACGTCTCCACTGGATGATGGACATATATGTGTTCCGCTCTCCGGGTATTAAGACTGATCGACTAGCTTTCTCAACACAGGCCGCAGCGTCGTATCCGATGCGGATATCACGAATTTGACAAGACTTTTTGACAGCAGAGCAAGCGAATTGCACACTTGCGCTCGCGTTCTCGTCCTTGCTGTCCCCATCTCCAATGGTGCACCTTGCTCCCCCACGTTAGCTAGGCTGGACAGATAAACAGAGAGAGTTGCATCGCGTTGACGATAGTCTTGGGGCCCTGCGGAGGACTCGTCATCTTCCGTTTCTTGGTCCACAACGTCTTGCTCATTAAAAATAGGTGATCACTTGACAGCACTGTTCTGTTCCTGGCTGTGGCACAGCACACTTAAATTTCCGCCTACCGAGCCGAGACCGAGAGAACCCCTGGCTATCTAAATTCAGGGGACCTCGATCTGGAAAAGGGGACAAACGACTTGCTGAATGCAGACGATATTGTCAGCCAAGCATTCAGGGACCGACTGGATAAGGAAACATTGTGGGGCGATGTTGTCAACGACGAGATCTGCTCTTGCGAAACAATGCAGATCATTGTGTTGCGACATGTTTCTTCCTTGGAGTCTCCATCAGGACTGGAGTGGAGCGCCACAATTTTTTATCACTGAGCTCGTGTTCCTGACCATGCTTAGTCAAAGCGCCGACGACGAGTACTTCCTGAGCTCTGAGAGACTGAGAAATGACTTCTCAGAAAAATAGATGACTCCGGGTTGTGATTCCGACGAGGCGACTATCGACGCCCCTGCTTTGAATAGCCCCAGTCTTGATCGTCTCTGCAACAGTCGGCATATCTATGGTTGGCAAGTGAGGTGATTTCCGGTCAGAGACAGCCCATGTGAGGTAGGATGATCCATCTCACCACCACTCTACTCAACATGATGTTATGGGGATCGGGCGGAAAGACGTGAGGCAGTTGAGCAAACCTCGTGGCTCTTACACGCGTTAATCGTCGGGTATGGCGATAATTAAGACCTGATAAACCGGCATTGACTAGCTTGTTGAACAACAGTGTCAACAGCATCTATCGCTTTACTTCCCGCTGGCTATGTCACCCTCTTGACCTTGTTGACTTTCAGTTATCTCGTCTCTCTCATGTCACTATCTGAGGAACTGACAAGGAAGTTTTCTAGGGGGCATCATCAAGTCTTAGATACCGATCTCTGATAATTATCAGGATGTATACTCAGCTAGAGAGCCCAGATACTTCATGTCAACACCCTTTCTTAGTCGTTCCTAGTCTACGTCAATGATAGGTTACTTTGAGATACAGGCTCTTATGCCAGTACAATCGCTACTTTCAGAGTAGATAAGACATCGTTCCAATTGAAGAACTCGTTACCTTGAAATAATTCGTTTTCTCGATGGCATTGAAGATGCAGTTTCTTAGTGCGAATTTATACCGTAGTTGACCACGTGCTAGTCCCCCACCAATCCCAGCGGCCGACGATGGCTCCAATTCTTTCAAGTTATGATATCACTCATCTCAAGCAACATCTTCACGCTCTCTCTACATTTCTGAGTACATGCATTCTGCTTCTTCTATACCCATATATTTCTTTATTTGATTGCAGTTGTTATAGAGTCTGAAATTATCCACAGCAATGGCGTCAACAGTTGACATAATAACGCTCGAAAATTTTGAGTCTAAGATGCCGCCATGGGATCCAAATAGCTCGAGCCACCTGTATGGTTTAGTAGACATGGGAAGGTTCGTCTTTCATGCATGTGCCGGAGATGTCCAGACCTGATGGTGAAACAGCAACGGCATACGGTTTTCCATTTCAGATCTTTCGCCTCCGCGGGCCCGATTGCTTAAATGCGTCTATCGCGAGCGGGCAGCCATCTCGCTGTTCGACGCGCTGAATGCAAACTCTACAGGGCCTAGTGGCCCCCTAACATTTCCTGAATCAACAATTGCGGAGGTGTCCCAGACACTGGCACGTTTTCGATCCATTGCAGTAGACGACTATGGCGTGCCCCTGTCCCAGATCTCCGTCTTCGCGACGGAGGCAATGCGCCGGGCTGCAAACGCCGGAGCTATTCTAGATGCCATCAAGACAGCCGCGCCGGGACTGAGCGTGCAGATTCTCGCTCCTGAAGTGGAAACGCTGTTCGGTGCCATGGGCGCACGGTCGGGTTTTGTTGCCGTCAAGGGGCTGTTTCTGGATCTGGGTGGCGGCAGCGTTCAGATGACGTATATGGATTCTTCATCTGACGTTCAGCCAAGTTACGAGATTGCAGCTGCCCAAGCTGGTGAAAGCCTGCCATTCGGTGCGGCGAGGCTCATACGGGTGCTGGAGACTGCTAGCGCAGATGTCAAAGCAATCGAGGAAGCGAAACTCAGCACGGGTATGGCTCGGGCGTTCTCCGTGCTGAAGGAGAAGTTCCCCAGCCTGGCGGAAACTGGTCATGGCGAAGCAAAGGACGGCGTTGATGTTTATCTCTGCGGCGGTGGTTTCAGGGGCTACGGCAGTATTCTCATGCATAATGATCCCATACAGCCCTACCCCATACCATCCGTCGGGGCTTACACGGTTTCCGGAGATCTATTCAAAGATACGAAGACCATGCGAAAGTTGAACGCGGAATACGAGGGCAAGATCTTCGGCATGTCGAAACGCAGGCGGCACCAGTTCCCAGCGATCGCCACCGTCATCGAAGCGCTCGTCCAGGCTGTTCCCAACATTAAGTCGGTCACATTCTGTGCTGGCGGAAACCGAGAGGGTGCCTTGGTGTTGAAACTGCCTCGAGACATCCGCGAGAGGAATCCATTGCCATTGCTCGCTTCAGTAGATGGCAAATCTGACTTCGATTCTAAGACCACGGAAACAGTGCTTGACTCTTTATTAGCGGCGATACCGTCAGACAGAGACTTATCTCGCATTCCATCAATATTCAGCCTGGGTCTGGCACCGCTGTTTGCACGAGAGATTTGGGCGCGTTCGGGAGAAGACGACGACTCGAACGCGGCACATGCTCTCCATAACGCAGTACACGGATATCCGAGCTCGCCGGGCCTGACGCATCTGGCCCGAGCCGTGCTAGGTCTCACGCTTTGTGCCAGATGGGGAGGCGGGCTGGCTCCAATCAACATGCAGCTTCACCACAACCTCAAGGCTCTTGTCGAGAGGGCAGATCCGGAGGCAAGCTTTTGGGCAGAATACATTGGTGCATCTGCGGCAGCATTGGCACGAGTAATTTCTGCCTGGCCGGCTGGAAGGAGCGTGATCGACATCATAAGGTACGCCGGCCTCTGGCCAAATTGCCAGGAATTTACTAATGAAAGGCTAGATTTGAAGCCAAGATGAACAGCAACAAGATCGAACTGAAGATACTTGTTGCACATGAGTCTACAAGAGGCATCAGTCCCGCTGACCTGTCCAGTTTATTCAAGAATGTGGGCAAGCGCAAACACGACAACAAGAAGGCAGACAAAAAGGTCTTCGTCACCGTGGAGAAGGTGGCCGAGTAACCACGATCTGAATCATTGCGCTTCTAATCCTCCTGTATGTGCCTACTAATGGCTACGACACACTTGAACCCGAAAAAATGAAACGAAGGCAGGTCTAATAAGCGCGGATGCCAAATGCCCAGCGAGGGCCTCCAGAGCTCTAGTCCTTTGTCTAACCCAGCTCGAATCTGAAGCAAAAGAAATTGACAGTCTCCCAAAATCCAACCAATCAAACAGTAAATGAAATCGACCGCGTCAGGACATGCTATCTCCGACCATTACTCCTATTGAGACATCGACGCTTGTCAAGGGCGATTTCGTGCTTAATGATTACCTCCCTGAGGAAAGCATCTGCTGGGGAGGGCGCGGCATTCTCTGTCTCGCCATTCAATATCTTGCAAATTTGGCCGGGAAGGCTAGAAACAAACTTACGAAAGACGATCCTTTGCGCGCAGACGTTCTCGAATTCGGCGCGAAGGCTGTGATCGTTTTGTAGCGCCACATCGATCTCACTGCTATCTTTCAAGCCGAGATACACAGGTGATTGCCTCCGAAAGTATGCGGCGTAGTGGATAATAAGGAGCCTTTGCAAGTCATCAAAGACTCGGATGCTAGCGCCAGACACCGGATATCCGTTCGGTTGTGAGCCAGATGACATCGGTTGCTGTACTGCCTGGTGATATGGGCCCAGTAGATCGCGGTAGAGCAGAATGAGCTGCCAGAAGCTAGCCCAGACCGGCAGGGCCGCGGATTGGAACCCCTTCTTGGGCAGAGAGGTGTCGAGCTCTTCGAGCACTTGGCGCTCGAGCGAGACGAAACGATCCCGGGCAAGCCTCCTGAGCTGCAGGTGTGCCACGCCTGACAATGCACGGGCTTGCTGAGTCGGCACCGAGGTCGCCCACAGCACTGGGCTTCTCCAGATCGTGTACCAGCACCGGATCTCATGAACCATGTGAACAAGACCTTTCTGTGAGTTGGTTAGGCGAATACGACCAAATGCAGCCAGCAAACCACTGTACTGCCGTGAAGGAACCGTGACCAGGCTCCTAGCCATGAGAATCAAGCGGCCAGAACACAAGAAACTTGGCGTCTAACATGAGAAATGGCTGACATACCTTTGGGAGGTTTTTTGAGCTCTTCGCATACGCAGACAAGAAGGATCCAATAGACTGGCGAAAACTCATTGTTTCCCGGCTCAACTGTTCCTCACTCCACCTCATGAAGTCTTGAGGAAGGGGAAGATTGTGGGATAGACAGTACTGCGGCTCTAATGTCTCCTGAAAATTGTTGGCTGTTCCTAAGACGCTGTGCCTCGGACGAGCATCAACAGTACACTGCTGAACCATCAGTCTCAGAGGAAAGTCCATGTGCCTCGTTGCCTCAAAGCGTATCAGCATTGGTACGGCCTGCCCGAAAGAACGCAGATTGGCCAAGATCGAGCTGTCTCTCCAGATTTCTGCCAAGGCTGTCAACACATATGATAGCAGAAGGGCTCCGGCGCATTACCTGCTTCAGGGATACGACAGTGCATGTCTACAAGCCTCTGAATCTCACAGACTTGCGGGTGATTCGGCTTATACCTGATGCACTCGTTGCAAGGGGTGTTGTAATCGCACTTGAGATGGTGTTAGTGGGAATCTCCCCTCTTCGGCCAGATAAAGGGGCACTTACCTCGACTTTCCGAATACGGCATCGCACACAGGCTCGTTTCTTACGCATACCGGCTACTTTTTCTCGCTTCTCCCCAAGTGGTCTCCTCTTCGGGGCACTAGGAGGTCGTGGGAGTGGACTGCCCACATTGGAAGGCTCAGGGGTCGAGAGTGCGAGCGGACCCACTTCAGGGTCGACATCGATGTCCTCGAACATGCTGAAGCTGAAGCTGAGGTTTCTCAAGAGGTCTGAATCAAGCGAGTTTTGTGACCCTGGATCTCCAAACTGCCCTTGGTTGAGCTGGGGCGTGGTGAGCTTGTCGTCGCCTTCTTTCACCTGGTCTAGAGTGACATCCATCGGCACAAGGTCATCCGCAGTGGCATAGTTGGCCGTGAAGGAAGAGGTCGACGAGGTGTAGCTCTGGCCATGGCTCAGACTCGGGTTGGGGTCATCGGACGTGTTCGACCAGCTGTCAGTATGGGCGTGTTGGGGCCCTTGGCCGGGGACCTGGAGGAAGTCTGAGGAAAACCGTGAAAAGTCGAAATAGAGACCGAAGGCATTCTCCGATGGCTCTCTGATGTCTCGGAGGGTGGACAGAATAACCGGAATCTCGTCGATAGCCGCCGTCGGAGAGGTCCCGTGGTCGTCCTCCATGTTTTTGATCCTTGGTGCGGCTGCCTTGGTTGGTTGTGTCACTTACACGGGCTTGAGGCGTACTAGACCGGGTCACGTCCGGGGTTTCTGGGTTAAAAACCAGGTCTGGATGTAGATAAACCAATAGATGATCACAATTCACACAATTGCAAGAGCTTTTCAGAAACAAAACGCATTAAATGTCAAACATGGCGTTTCAATTGAATATATAAGACAGTGACGCCTGGCAACTTACCTCTTTCCTCCTGGACGCGGCAGCCAATCAAAGGCAAGAACCGGGAGGGAGCAGAGATGTCTGGTTTTCGGTCAAGAAAGCCATTGAGAGCTCGCCTGTCACCTGCCTTCCCGTGACTTCAAGATCCGGACACTTTCGCCTTAACTTCACGTACATAAACTCTGAATCCTATCAATTTCGAGCTCGTGTTTGAAAGTAGCAATATTGATTCCATATATTCGGGCTCATTCAATTCATAAGATGCAACCACAATTTCTTGAGAAAATGGCAAGGGATAATCACTCGGGTCCCTGAATCCGGATGCCGTGTTCGTATCCAGACAGTGAGATAGATGATGGGCTACAAAGTGCAATAGAAGGGTAGGTCTGGGTCGGCTCTCAAATGGTCAGCGTGGCATGCCCTCTTCCAGATCTACTGCCGCTCAGCGCTTGGGAGTAGCCGTCTAGGGCTGAACTTTGGGTTGTCAGACAATTTGGGGAAGACATCCGCGCGTATATTGTGGCTTCAAGACCATGTTGTGCAACTCTCTCTACCGTTCGAAGACGCCAGGATGGCTACCGCCTTTGCAAGCCAGGAGGACCAAGACCATTCGGGCTGTCTCCGGAAGAAAGGATCATGATTGAGACAAGAATCAGACGGAGGTGGTGGGAGTGAACGGATCGCCATTTGACAGCAATTGGATCAACGCGCGCGGGTCGAGTGGATGGAGATGCATCATGATGTCTTCTTGTTCGAAAATATCTGACAAGCGGAGCCAGATGCACCAGGCTGCCAATTTTGAGTCGGCTTAGCACAGCCGCAGCGCTTAATCTTTAGGATTGGACTAAGTCTCGAAACAAGACCATTCTGCTCCTAAACCCTTCTATGAGGAATGCATGTGTCATTTTCCTCTGATCGTAGAGTCTTTTTAGCTTCTCGAACTGAGGCTGCTGCAAGGAATGGATGGAGGGTTGACAATAAGCTCCTGTCGAATACGCATATTAATTCCGGCAAGCAAATAGCCACTCCGGAAACTCAATCAAGCGAGCGAGCAAGCGAACGCAAACATGCATCATGATCTGGATAAAAGCGATATGTAGAGACTCGGGATTGCAAAATCGATGTTCAATCTGAGAAGCTGCAGCCCTAACGAGACCCTCTGAATATTTCTAATTCCGTGCCTCTACTCTACGGTTTCGAGAAGTGAGTTAGTTGCACTTGCCCCTCCATCGCGGCTTCCTTGATTAGACAGACTGTGGGTCGCAGACAAAATCGAATCACAGCGGGCGGTGGGTCGCTGGGCTTAGGCTGGGGTAGGCATGGTTAGTGGTCGATCCTAGTGCATGTCTGAAGGGGGGCTGTGCACTCTATTTGCGCAGTCGGTCTGTGTTGTCAGTGCTTGTTAACAGAGTCATTCTGGCTTGCCGGATGGCCCACGAGTCAGTGATGGGCAGTTTAACAGGCGGCGGGCCGCGGTTTTGGTCCCTCTGGCCGTTTGGGCGGACGGGACGTTGGAGGGTCCCGCGTCGCCGAAACTCAATGCTGAGGCCGGGCTGGTACACTATAGCACAAAGGGAGTCTGAATGGCGCGAGTTGTAAGGTAACTATGCCAAATACTGCCCGATGCTAGGATGAAGCGTTAACATCTTTGAACTAAAGGAGGAAAAAGAGCATGCGATATCCCTCATCGTGAACGTTGTTTCGGCCAGTGTGTCTGTACGTGCAGATCGGACCAGCCTCGCCAGCTGACCATCTACGTCATACCTGACGGCCCAGCCAGGGGACTTCTGTATGGTCCCTTCCGTCCCAAGAAGCATGGAAGCGGCAAGGCACTCGTTGAACCGGGGAAGACGGCAGCGGCACAGTACCGTCCAGGAAACGGTTTAATCTTTGAAGCACATCATCCATCGACGGAATGGCCTAACGAACTGCCGACGACGGTGAGAAATAGCTGGAAAAGATAAGGTAGAGAGAGTCGACGTAGGTTTCCTGCAACATCGACGGTTGAGCACGCCATTTAGAGACCATAGCCCGGTTGACTACCAGGTCATTGCTAGCAAGTACCTAAATCCCTCGATGCAATTACATGTACCTGCACTGCACCTACTTCCCTGCACTCTATCGCATTGCTGGAGGAGGATGCGTTGCCTGTCAGAGTCGGGGCCGAGTTGGTAGGAAGGTCAATTGGATTGTTGGAGCGGACCCCTGTTTTGCGCGGTGACATCGACCGCCTGCCATTGGAATTGCTGAGCCGCTTTGCATCATCATCCTTCTTCGGCCACCTGCCCAATCGTGACGGCATACCCAAGCTTAGAATTTGTTAACATAACATAACCTAACATTACCTCAACCATGCGAGTTGACAACAACAACAGCAACAATAGCAACGACACTTCACTGTTGCCTTTCCTCTTTCTCACTCTTGAGATTTAAGATACCTTCCTCAACTAGCTCATCTTCCATCCTACTTCCTTACATACCGGTAGTACTGACGCTAAAGACCTACCCGAGACACCGAACACTGCCAGGCCAGCTTCTACTACCCACCTGAACCTTAGCTCCTCCTTCTGCCAGGACCCTCCCGAGTTCTCCTTTTAGGTACATACTTGGACCGCAGGAGACGACCTGCCTAAGTCTCTTCTTGCCTGCCTGACCCTGACCCGACCCCGACCCCCGATTGTCCTTGACACCCCGCCATCACATACATAAAAGGTACATGCGGTGCACATCGACCTACCTACCTAGGTACCTTAGGTTGTCTCATTTTTCCAATCTTAAGCAGTGTCGCCATCTCCACGAGCTCCGTTTTACGATTAAGACACGACGGACACGAGGCTTTTGCTTTTGCGTTTGCACCACCAGCCTTGAGCAGCAGCAGCACTGCTCCACAGATCGCTCGTCCTCTCATCCCAGCTTTCTCCACTTAGTTGCCATGCGAATGCCGCCCCCCGTGGACGCGTAACGACACTCCTCTCCCCTTACGCAACCGGCGGAAATCAGGGCCAGAGCCTAGTGCCTCTTATATACCGGTACCTACCTCACCTACCCAGTCGATCCTGTCCACAGGACGACCCGAGACTCTGTCGGGCTGAAGCTTGTGCTTGTGTTACCACATCTCCAGCTCAGCGCAGCTCAGCTCAGCAGAACTGTCTCGCCCAGCATGGCGTCCAGTAAGTCCTCTCGCTTGAGACGGGACAAGTCACCTCTTCTCTCTTTAAACTTGAATCCCCGCATCCCCTTCCGCCGCCCCAGCCCCTCTCCGTCGGGAAATGCTGGCGAAGATCACAAGTTGGAAGTCGAAGAAGAGCAACCTACAGAGGCCGCAACGGAGGCCCATTCAGAGGGAGGGGAAGACCACCAGCACGACTCAGAGCCAGTGCTCAAGGTGCAGCGGCGGTCATCGACACTCGGTCTACTAACCTCTTTGATTCCCTCGCTCATATCTCCTTCTCCAGACCACCCGATCCACCGAAAGCCCGTCAGTGCTTTCCCACCTCCCACCTCAGACACGACAGGCCTTCCGCCCTACCAGCTACCCGAGATAAGACACTCCACAGGACTGGGCATCTCAGCCCCATCGGAAGCCCCTCCTCCTCCCCCGCCAAAGACCTCCTACGATATAGATACACACGCCCAGAAGCATCATACCATGCCGGCAGTGATCCACAAACACAGGAAGACACCCTCCTCGGGTCCTCCACCTCCCCAGCAGCCTCCACCATTCCCACCTGCAAATCAAGGGCCACCGCCTCAAACGAGCAACTTCCAGTTCACCGAGACTCCCTCCTCGCCGAACCTGCACAAGAAGAACAGGAGCAGCTCGGCTCAGCCAAGCCCAACCAGCAAGGAGAAGCATTCTCGGTTGCAATCGACTCGGCGGCCTTCCCCTTCGCCGGAACCCCGGGGCAGAAGCACTTCGGCACATCCACCACCGAGCAGAGGAGGTCAGTTGGATGCCCCTCCTTTACCTCCATCCGCATCACGGCCGTCCTCTCAACAATCCAGTGATGGCAACCAGAGCCCTGTGCATGGAGGTGAGAGCCGAGGCAGGCTACGGAGGAGCTGGTTGCCAGGAGGGAGGTCGAGATCGAACTCCCACGATATGGGTAGAGCGCAGACCTCTGGTGCGTGGATCATCTCGACCGAGAAACAAGTAGAGTACAATACGGCGTTTCTTCTTAAGGGTGATAAGGTACACGAGCCCAACAAGATCTTAACCTTTTACACATCTAACATCATACAGGTACCTGAGCTTTGGAACGAGAACGGCGCTATTTATGTCTACTTGTACCCAAGAGGCAGTGGCCATGGTCCATCCTTCAAGGTGCCGGCGCAGACAATAAATTCGTCCAGGGTCTTTGCAGAGCTCATTGAATCGGATACTGCGTCGATGACAAGTGGCCGAAGTCGGGCTAGAAGCTTTGGTGGGCGTGACAGCTTGTCTGCCGCGGACGCGCACCGTCACAAGGCTTCCCCGCCAACATCACCTCCTTTGGCCGGATCGGAGACGCCAGGAGAGTCGAGACTTTATATTCCTCCTGCTCCAGGGCTGAATGGACAGCGAGCTTCCCCGAACCAACCACCGATTTTGGATAGGCTCATATCCGTTCGCAACCTGTTCGCATTCTTAACGGGCCAGCCCCTGGTCGGAACCAAAGCACATCCGACTATCTTTGCCGTGTTCCTTCAGATCTCGTCTCTCCTCAGAGAATTTGATTTCCTGAGTTTTGACGGAACCTCATTTGGTGAGGCCGCGGACATGAGCTTCAGCTTTTTCATCGGCCAATTAGGTCTAGGAGATGTAAGGCACAGCCGGGAGAAAACATTGGAAGCCCTCGTTCTTGGCGAGCGGATGAGATCATGGGATTTGTATCACGAAGCCTTCACGCATGCTGTGGGCAAATACGCCGCCATTCTGGACATAAAGTCGCCCCTTTTCGAAAAACTTTCGAGCAGCACACGGCAACGTCTGGAACGAGCCCATCTGGATCTCCTCAGTCGCCAACATAATGTCAACATGCGACTCGAGGATTTTGAGTTTCCCAGTCTGTTTGCCGGTATCGCCAGCTCGACGTCGAACCCGCTTTACAGAGATGTTCGCTTCAAGAATTGGAGAAATTCTTTTGCCAGGATGAGAAGCTTCGTCATGAGCTACTACAAGTCACAATTCGGCAATTGGCCACCGAAAGCGCGAAGCAAGAAGAACCCATTTTCGGAAAGTGGATTGAATCGCTTGGTTCTGAGGATTCTCTATTCCGATCTATGTTCCTTGTACGACCTACTGGTTGATCGAGAGTCCGTGACGCCGCGAGTCATCGATGAGTCTCCAGAGGACATCTCACCCGAGGAACTGAACCCCGAAATCTCTGCTTTGCGGAAGATGCTCAGCGAGTTCGACCATTCCTCGCCTCCTGTACTGCCGCCAGTGCCATTCGATATACCCAAAATACCCACTATGACTACAATATTACCTACTTATGATGAGCTACAGCCGAAGGACCAGGCCAAATTTGATAAGAAGATTCAGTCTCATGAACTCCTCTTGATATTGCACAAGGCTTATAACTTTGATACGGACAGCGTGAAGACGCCTTTCTTGACAGAGTTCAAGGAATTCGAGTTGAAAGAGGCTAAGGGCAAGTTCGCCACCGACATGGCTGACAACCGCGTTGGCTACTGGCTCTTCCTGTATGCCGTTATCCAATCACTTCCGATGCTTGTGGTAGATGCTCCTGGCCTTCATTTCACTGAAAGTGTCGAGTATTTCCTCTGCGAGCCGCCTCAAGGCAACCTTCCATGGGTGGAAGATGCCGGCGAGGTCAGGAAAGCATGGTATCAAATTCCTGGCCAAGGAATCGTTGAGCTCTCTGCAGATGTGGTCATGTTCAGTGTCGAGGCAGTCTACCAGCGGAGCCACTGTTGGCTTGCAGCTAAGAACTGGGAGGTGACTAACGGATCGCTCCCATCGGTCCCAAGCGTCGGGGCGCCGCCCCCAGTTATGTCCCCACTCGAAGCTCCCCGTGCCGTCTTCGAGGACATGGACCCGATGCAGAGCCCACCTGCTCTAGGCGCCACGGGTCCCTCACCGCCGCCTGGCTCGACCGGCTCACTCCCGCTGCGTGGCCGGGATTCCTCATCTGGTCCATCCTTCAGGGGCTCGGGACACCCATACCGATCCAGCATCGTGCTTGGTCTGGAGCCCGTGCCCTTCCCCGAGGGCATGCCGGGTAGCGAGAGGTCGAGTCGCATCGTCAGCCAACAGCAACCCCGGCATGGTTCACGCGGATCCATCCCTGACACAGCAGCCATGAGCAGAAGCCGGTCCGCCGGCAACCTTCGCGGCATGATGAACGAGTCTCCTGCGTCCGAGCCTAAGGATCGCCAAGGCAGTGTTGGCGGAAGCACCTTTGACGACATCCTGAAGAACATGGACGGCCAGAAGAAGCAGACCAAGAAAAAGTTCTTCTAGGCCATTCATTACTGAAGTTGCGCCTTTCTTCAGGCTTCCCCTTCCGAGCTGCTTCAGTGGCAGATTGAATATATTGTAATGATACCCGGCATCAAGTTGGTGCCCCCTTTTTTTGGGCCTTGAAAAGTCTCTTCATCAGAGGCACAATCTAGTCACATAGCGTTGATATTGGTCATCTGAAAAATAAGCATGTCAAAAATTTGTGGTTGGCTAGTTGAGCATGTCATTTGCATTACTACGAGGAAAATGGTGTGTTAATATTGCATTTTGAGTATATGGGTTCGAGCATTATAGACTTCTCATTTTCTCTTCATATAGAGCCACTTCGCTTGGAGCAAATCACGGTGGTGATTATCACGAAAGATGCCACTTTTTCTACGATCTCGCCTCCTCGGGCTCACCTTCCATCGCTCGTGCCCTTCCCATCACAGATGACAAAAGAAGTTCCTCCATCCTGACCACCGTCTCGGCCTCCGTCTCCGTCTTCTTGACCCAACCACTCGCCCACTGTCTCCGCCCTTGCCCTCTTCCCCACTGCGCGCACACTCCACGCAGCACTGCCTGTGGTTGCGCCTCTCGCACCTGACGAGGCCCGCCCTGCAGTGTCCCGCGAGGCCGTCGCGCCACTGCGCCTCCGCGCAGAGCGCGATGCCCCTAGGCAGCGAGCCCGTTGGCGCGCAGCAGTGGCGGCAGTAGAAGCGGTCTGTGGCGAGCTGGCACATGGACACTGCGATGTCTTCAAGAGCACGGCGGCTTGTGATGAAATAGTAGGGCTGGGTGTATCGTCCAATCTGCTGAAAAGAACATGGCTCTTGACGCTGGTAGAAGAGATAGAATATGCTGATGGAGATGTTTGGCCGTAAAGACAATGAGTTATTGGGCTGCGCCCCAACAGTCAGGGGCTGACGAGTATCTAGTCAACAGATGTCACTTACTCACGGCAATATCAAACATCACCAAAAGAGGTCTAACTCCCCATTCACTCGTCCCAGTATCGCATCTAAAATCATATTCAGTCTATACGGCATTCGTCCTATCGTGCTTTCCAGAGGGAATCTCAAAACCTGTAGCAAACCGCATTACGGGCCTACCCCTGCTTCCATGACCCAAATAATCAACAAAGTAATGATATAAAATGTGTGATCCGTGCTTTCCCGCGTTAGACTAAATCAAAAGAGAAGTCGACATTACCCCATTGAGGCAGCTCTTCCTCCGACGAGGCTGCTCGAACTCGGGAACTCACGATTCGAATGCTCAAGTCTTCTACCTCAGACGGATTCACGGGTGTCCCATCCGCTCGCAGCACGCGGACCTCAAGCCACGCGCGTAGATATGGTTCGATATCGCCAACTTCGAGGGATGGTAGAATACCCTCTGCGACCATCGTGGCCAGAGTCGAGGTCATGGGTATTGTCCCTGTGGTGTGCATTCCGGAGGGAAGCATTTTGCGAGCATGCATGGCAGGCGCAGCGAAGATACTCATAGTACCAATTGCACCTGGGTCTGAACGCCAGCTTCGTGGATCAGTAGGCACCTCGCCCAGAAAGAGAGTTACCGAGAAAGGACCGTCCAACGCTTGCTTTTGGGCACGAATGTTTGCTGTCCATTCCCGATATTCATCGTTAACAATAACGTCTCGACTGGCCGGCTTGCCTACAGAATGACGCAGATGATTCACTGTCCTTCTCCCCAGTATGGAAGCGTCTTGGAGTGAACGGCTTCTGCGAGCGACTGCCAGACTGCCAGGGCTTGATCCACCGTAGAGCTGGTTGATAGCAGCTATCACCTGAGCCCTTGCTGTTTCGTTTATTATTGGGTTGGATAGTGAGATGCCTGCAATTTCGGCGTACGTGTAACCCAAAGCTTCTGGGTCGCGGACCATGTCTGAAGTCCAAAAGTTACGGTTGCTGTCGAGGAAGAATGGTGTTAGCGGTGATCCCGAATCCTGAATTTGACCAAGTGATGTTGTGTAAGAGTTCATCTTTGCAGGTTCTGGAGTGATCCATGCAGTTGGATAAAGAGCCTGCCACATGGCAAATATTCGATCGACCATGGCATGGTGAAGAAAGAAGATTGGATCGAATGATGAAAAGGGAATATAGGCCATATGGCCTACGCCGCCCCCCAAGATGTTGTGAATAGTGTCATGCAATGATTCAAGAGAATCGTATTCATTCTCGTGTCCGTCTGGTATCCAAGCCTCATTACTGAATGTGCTGTAGTTCCCATAATTCGAAAAGAGTGTGTAAAGGCGTTGTTGGAAAGATGGTAGGTTTGCGTCAAGTAATTGTGCCACGAAGGTGTTGTTGGACTGGGCTGCGGTCGTCAGCGTGGTTGGAGCACGCATGGTCCAGTCCCAAGTACTCCACTGCACAATGTTAGAAAAATTGTGTAGTAATACGGGAGATGACTCACGGGTGTGACGTTGAAAAATACAGTGGGATCCAGGGGCTTGAACTGGTATGTGAAGAGAGGATTCGAAATCATCTGTCGTCCATTTGGCCCATCCACCTCGACCATGGGATTGCCTCCTATACTAACAGGAAACACGCTATCTCCAGCGGGTGGATTTGCAGCCCAATCAAAATATGGTATTCGACAATTGGCAGCCGCGGCGACGAATCTGTTCCGGGTGGCTTCGTTGGGATAAAGAGATGCAATGTATTGCTCCAAGGCGCAAATGAGTTGCTGGCATAATGTGAGTAAACTCTTCACCTGCGTTAGTCTGTTTGCAATGTGAAATAACTTACCTCATACAAAGCCAAATATGGTCGATGCCAAGTTGGAAACAGTACGGACATATGATTGCAATAGCCGCTCCGTTCATTACCAGGCGTCGGCAGGACGTCGCCCCATGGCTTGTACGGAACACCGTGAATGCCTTGACGTTATCAGCGCCCATCAAACTTGTTCCAGATATGCAATATTTGCGGCCATACCTGCGATTTGGTACCACGAGAATGGTTGTGTCTGATCTGTGTACTGCATTAGACTGAGGGCCAGGATGTACAGAGTCCACCTGTCTGGGTCCTGCTGCAACTGTCTAATCTCTGGGCGAATCGGTGTGATGCTGTTCACTCGGGGCATGCCGGTGACAACAAAGGGGTCTGGGGCCTGCCGCCTGACAAGGTTGCTCATGTCGAAGCCGTAATTGTACTCTTGGCCGGCGGAGTAGCCAGCGCAGCAGGCAAACAAGAGGATAAGGAGGGCGTCGAGTGCCATGACAGCGATCGGGTCGAGTCAGGATGTCGAGTTAGGAGGCGTAGGTGATTAGGTGAGGTGCGTATTAGGTCACGTAAGTCGAAACGGAACGGTGAAACCACGATCGCAAATCTTTATGTACTGGACCCAGGTGAATTGAGGTCGCGGATATGGAGAGACTGGAGAGGGTGTAACCAAGGTAGAGGGAAAGGGGAGGAGCAAACGAGTGAGTGATGCTGCTTTGCCTTCTGGATTAGGGTATTGAAGGACAGCTCCAAGATTATGCGCCAAATTGTCGATACATCTAGGACTGAAGATATCCGACCACTAGTCCTGGAGAAAAAGAGTCCAGGAATGATGACAAGAGGGTGACAATGTGGTGTGGTTTTAGGGCTCAGCAGGCGCAAACATCATGGCTTGCGACCTTCGGCGTCGTGCCTGCCAAGATTGGATGGTTTCGTTTGCTAGTGTCTCAGGGCGACAATGAGCTCGCGGCTCGTGCCTTCCGTCTCTGGAGTGAAAGGTTAATCTCTTGGCCCGAGGTGGTCTGAACGGCTATAGAAATGCCTCCTTTTTGAATCTCGTGTGCTACTGCTGGCATGGATCACCACGAGAAGAGGGCGGCAGTTCCGAAATGAATATTCAATCTTCCGCCACGATCTTGCAACCATTGGAAGTCATCCCGTTCAACACGTAATACTATAAACACAGGCTGGAAACTCTGCGTACCCCTTCTCTGCTGCAGGAGGGGAGCGGCTACCTGCGTGGTGGAAAGGGAGCACAACATTGGATAGCGTCGTGCAACCCCCTAATGCCGTTCGGCTGCTGATGTCCAAGGGCCTTCAATTTGCAATTCACTTGACGTGTCTCGCAGTGGTGTAGGGACTCATACCTTCTACATGCTTTAGAACATCACCCTGACATTCAATGATCCTACAATCACCATAGAAAACATGTGCCAATCATAATACTTGATAGGCCACTTCTTAAGTAGAAATTTGGTATTTATTGACTAACATCATGATCCCATACAAGAAAAGACATCCTATCTATCAAGCGACCGCAAGAGCGTTCCGAAACGGCGGGTCCGCTTGCATTGCTTTTCCTAACAAAACTCCATCCAATGGTGCTGGTCTCAGCGGACCTTTCCTCGGGGCATCCTTGGGATCGACCCGGTACTTCAGCTTCACTCCCATCGCCGCCAGTTCCACATCCAGGAACTTGAGCGCTCCTGGGACCACCACCACCGTGGTGTCCTCACCCCCTATCCACTCATGACCCTGGCCATCTGTCCATATCTCTCCATCCAGCTTGGTGAGGTCCAGGTCCTCAATGGTATCCAGCCTCGTCGCGCAATTCCTGCAACGAACGGTGTTCACGGCCTTCCTCTTACCTATGAAAGGAGAAACCGTGGGCTGGACTGACAAGAACGATCCGCAAGTGCGGCATATCCAGGTCCGCGTGTAATCTGAACAGTTGAGCAGACGATCCTGAAGCAGAAAAGCCGTTCCGTGCGCCAGCAGGGCATCACGTTCCATCTCACCAACACGGATACCACCACCACGTTTTCGACCTTTGATTGGCTGGCCGGTTGTTGGAACAACCGGCCCGGTGGTTCGGACTTGGTATTTGTCGTTAACCATGTGTCGCAGCCGCTGGTAATAGACAACGCCGATGTAGATATCGCAGGCAAACTCCTCTCCAGTGATTCCAGAGTACATTGGCTCGTTGCCATGATAGTTGTAGCCGGCTTTCATCAGCTGATGGCCAAAGTAGTCGGCGGCCGTGTTGTCCTCATCAAACTTGAATGGCGTTGAGTCTTGAGCGAGACCGTGAAGGGCACCAGCTTTGCCGGCCAGAGACTCAACGAACATGCCGATTGTCATACGTGACGGGAAGGCGTGAGGGTTGATGATGACATCTGGCTGGATGCCGGACTCGGAAAAGGGCATATCAATTGATGGCCACTTCTGTGAAGCGACACCTTTTTGACCGTGCCTCGAGGAGAACTTGTCACCAATGACGGGTGAACGAGGAATGCGGAATTTGATTGAGATAGTCTGGCCCAGCTCGGTGCCACTCTCACTCCCAATTAATCGAACCTCTTCGATGTATGCGGTCTCTGAGTCTTTGTACTTCTCAAAATGCGTCTGGTTGTCGTTGTTCACCAGATTGCCCAGACGGTCTGAGGTGACGGTATGCCAAGCACAAATGACATCGCCTTCCTCAACTTTCCGGCCAATATATGGAAGCCCATCCTCGTCGAGCATGTCGCGCTGCCATCCTCGGATGGTACTTCCAGGAGCAAAGCCAAACATCTTCTCAATGTTTTTGGATGATCGCGTCCGCGAGTCGTCCTTCAAGCTGATCTTCTTCGTCTTGTAAATGGTACCATGGCCAAAACCCCTCTCGTGTGCAGATTTGTTGATGATCATAGCATCGTCCATGTCGTAGCCGGTGTAGGAAATGACGGCAACAACAGCGTTAGTACCATTAGGGAAGTTATCAAAACCGTATGCGTTATGCAACGGCGCCCTGACTATCGGAGTTTGACCGGTCTGCAGGCGATATGACTTGTTGTCTGTTCTGTAGCGAAGAGACGATCCGGGAGTGCCCATTGTTTGTTTACCCATCTGACATTGGTACATATTTCGAGGAGACTGATTGAAGTCCGAGAAGGGTGTCATATTTGCTAAGATGGACAGAATATTGGTGGGGTCAAATTCAACGTGGCTCGACTCCCCAGAAATGATCTCGGGCTCGGTGCAGGCAATAGACATGTAAGGCTGCTCATGCGGCCCGACAAAATCCTCTTTCTCAAGAGGTAAGTACTTGACTGGTCGAACCATTCTGGCGGGCTGTGACGACATGTAGACACCTGGGTACGATCCGCCATTGGAAGGGGGCACGTAGCCGATTTCGAGATGGACGGGAATGCCATGAGAACCCTCGACTTTCCAATGCCGGAAAGTATCTGCAATTCTCTTTGACTCTTTTGGTGTACACCATCCAATGATCTTTCCATCTAACATAACCACAACACTCTCATCAGTGGCAGACGAGGACGTCTCTACCGCGCCAAGTTCTGTAGCTAGCTGTGGTATAACAGACGCGTCGACATTTTCTGTCATTATCTTGCACTTGTGTGCCAGATGGTTCAGGAGACCGCAAGGGGCACCATCGGGTGTATGAACTGGGCAGAGAAACCCCCAAGATTCCGGTAGTAGCTTCCGCACTGTTGTCGTCTTAAGTTGAGCGAAGAAGCTACCTCTGTGCACCATTCGGAAGTGACTGATAAATCGGAGGAAGTTGAGTTTCTCCGCCACTACCGTGAAGCCGGATGTCTGTTGGAGATCAAGACCTGATGGACTGACCAAATTTCCGGTGGAGAGGAAGTATTCGAGGGCTTGACCGAGATTCTCGGTCGTCCTTCGAAAGATCGCATTTGGAAAATCTTTTGCAAATGTTTCCGTGGTAAAGAGGTTGGAGGGATATCTCCTGAAGTATTCGCGAAGAGCGCCTCGAACTCCAACAGACAGCATTTCATCCAGGCGTTCCTTCAGGATTTGCCCATAGAGGAAGCCTCCGAGGAGAATCTCCTGATTTTGGACAGCATCTGGGTTGTCCACCGAGCAGTCCCCGGCGACCAGTGAGTAGAGCTTTCTGATCATGAACAACAACATTTTGAACTTGTCAGCATCCTGGTCTTCTGTGACTTCTATATTGCCCAAGTGGACTAAGACAATTCTTCGAAGGAACTCCGTGCCAACATCATAATTGGACATGGTTTCTGGTACTCCTAGAACGACGCGAAACTTCTCTCCGAGGTAAGCGCGAGTTTTGGTCTTGGTGTAAAGCCCATATGTCTTGTATGTTCGCAGAAGTAGCTCGACGCGGTCTGTGACGAAAGTATTGTTGATGGCCTTTGAGTCGGGAGGGCCAACAAGACCCTCGAAGATCTCTCGGTCACTGGTCTCAACAAGAGCCTTCATGATCATCATGACTGGAATCAAATACTCGTTCTTGCGCCATGAGAATCGGAAGGTGACATTTCCGTCATCTAGATAATGGAGAACGTTTGTTTGCGAGGTCTCATCAGGTCGCACAGATCGAACTATGATGCCGTAAGGAGTATAAGCTGGACCTCGATTCTTGAAGCTCGGTCGGTTGATGGCAAGCGGAAAGTTCCTTCGGTTCATCAGGAGAAGTCGGATGATCTTTTCGTTACCATTGACGATGAAGTATCCCCCCATCTCTTCTGATTCCTCTTTCCTCTGCACCAATAAGGCGGGAGAGTTGCCTTCGAGGTGACATCGGTTGGACTAATGCTGTGTAAGCTAAGACGTCTAAACTAGGGGGTGATCCTCTACTTACCTTGATCATGATAGGCATTTGTCCAATCTCACGAATGAATTCTTTGGGATCGCCATTATTAATGCGGTACTCAAAGGTTGCGGTGAGCTTCCCGCGGTAGGTAACATGCCGTTCTCTGCATTCCGCCGGAAAAATCTCTCGAGTCTTTGCGAATTTGTTTGATTGTGGCACGAGCGACTTCTGCAAGGTGACACCCTTGATCCGTATACTCAACTTGTTCCTTTCCGCCGCCGACATCCCGTCTGTCCCGTCGAGAAAAGTCTTTGTCCCAATGTCTGCGAGGCCATGGGCAATGAGACCTGGCCGCCCATCGCTTGGGAAGAGGGCATTGAATGATTCGATATGAGGATTGACGGCAATTTGCAGTAGTGGATAAGCAGATCGGTCAGTGGGGGGATTGCGGAACAGGTTCTCGCGACGCAGAGTATTGTACTCGTGATCCCATTCTGTGCTCGTTCGTTGCCTCCGCTGTGAAGCCATGACGGCTGCTTTACGAGCTGCACAGTATAATTAGTTGAGAAAGTTCGGAGTCGGGGTGTTCTGTGGTGTTGGGGGCTGGTCAAGGCGCAATAGAAATGAAATGTTCGTGAAGAGATTGAACTCACATTTCTCTCTTTAATGAGAATGTGCAAGAGTTTCCAAAGACAGAAAGACTTGTCAATTACACTGCAATCGCAGGGCAGTGGAGAAAATTCTGACGGCTGAGTACATCCCAGTGCCGTCTCCACGATACATGTGAATTTGTCTATCCTCAATCGAAGGCCGGATCTCGTACAGCAGAAAAAAAGTTTTGGCGGCGGGACTAGATAACGATAAGAGTCACGTGCGCGTTTTATCGATAAGACGATACCAAGGTGCAGGTGAAAGATCTAAGGTAAGCAATGACGGGCGGCAAACACCCGCAGGCATTGTAAGGTATTACTGAGTGAGGGGTCGTTGGGGTTGTCTTCTGGTTTCAGAGACGGCGAACTTAAGGGTACCCGGATACTGAACCGGGCGCTTCAATCGTCGCACAGAGTCAAGACATGCAGAGGGTAGTTTGATCGGATTGCTGGCCTTGTCCAGCCTGAAGTGTCACGATCGAAACTGACGAGCTTGTTGGCACTTGAGTGGAGAGTAGACCATGCGTAGACAGAGGGAAGAAGTTCCCAGGTCGCATCTAGATGGCCAGTGTTTCGATGCACGACGATCCCCCTCTCCTTCCCGTACCGGGCATGCCGCTTCTCCATCTTGACATGACCTGCAGGCCCCGTAGGGCGGTAGGGCGCGGCGCTACGCCCTCAATCAACCTGCAGCCATGATCAAGAGCCCCCTCTGAACAGAATATCGTCATGGCTGTGGGGTTGTGAGTTGGTGAGGTGAGGTCTGAGGATTGGCCCGCCCGGGAAGGACCGGACTACCATCACCTAGGTAGGTAGGTAGGTATGTCGGTATTGGTAAGGTCGGATGCCTCCCACGACAACGGACAACAGTCTCTGGCTTGATGACAACACGACCACGACCACGACGACCCCATTTCGAGCCTGTCCCTCTTGACCTCTTAGGAAGCCGCTCCTTCTCCACGCCTCCCTCTCCTCGTCCTCCTCCACCTCCACGCCGCCGGGCTGCAAGTCGGTCGAGCTTGGCTTTGCCTGCCTTAGAGCGAATCGCTTCGGGCCAGTAAGCTTCGTTGCGACATCAACACCCAAAGAGCTGTCCTGGCCCAAAGCAGCGGCCACGGCCAACCAGCGTCCAGCGCCGCGAGGTACCGCCTGCGGGTTGCAGCTCGTCGTGCAGTCGCTCTGCAGCACTTTGCAGCCCAACTGTTGCTGGTGCTGCGTTGAGTTGCCCGCAGTCTGCAGTCGGGTGCATAAGTAGGTAACTTTGTAACCAAACTTACCTTAACCTTCCTGCCAATCCATGCCTGCGTGTTGCTCTGCCTGCACTGCGCTGCCCTTTCCCTGTCCCTGCCTTGCGTCCCTGCCTTACCTGACCTGACCGGAACTGACCTTACCTTACCTTACCTGACCTTAACTTACCTCAACCTCCAACTACCTCCAACTGCCTGCTACCTAAGGCTGACCTCTTTCTATCACCTTGAAGGACAAATATACGTCAACACACTAGGCCGACACAATCCTGACCTTTTGGTTCTTCCGTGTCATTGTCATCATCGCTGCTGTTTCCGACCCCCAGAGTACTTAGCTATCGTACTTGACCTGCAAGAATCTCTCTTCAGCTGCATCCCGACTTGCTCTTCACCTCGATTTCTGAGAGACTGAAGAAGCCATAAATCCCCACGCCTTCCCCGGTCCACTGCTCTCTGCCTTTTCCCCTCTGTGCCGCTCCGATTTGCCGCCGTTATTACGTCTCTTTATCTGTTGTCCGGAATCGAGCAGCCTTCGCCCAATCACCCAAGCCCCTCTACCAGAGCTTGGACCCCGCTGTTGGTGCCCTCTGCCTCTTCTCGCAGATTGCCAATTTTTCTCCAGGTCACAAGCCGGCAAGCACGTTCTTGTAAGCTCGCTCCTTGCGAGCAAGGCACATTGACGAGTCCCGCAAGGATCAGCACTCTGTGTCTGCGACCTCGACCTCGACCTCGACCACGGCGGCTCTCTACCAGAGACACACTACACAAGCACAAGGCCAGAGCGGGTAGAACAACACCGTAAATCGTTCACCATCCAAACAACCGGGGCCTACAAAAGCAAGCAAGCATCCATCCATCCGTCCAGCATTGCAGAGCAGCCTCGACCTCACGTCCTGTACATCTTTCCATCCTGTACTGTGCCATATCAGACATACCTCCCCCCACGAGTTAAATAGCACATACATACATACGTTACCACTTCGGGGGGTCTCATCTCACGTCCCATCCCGTCCCGCCCACCATCGCATAGTACACAACACCGTACCGCACGCACAGCGCCCGCATTACACCGCGCAGCACTCGCTCCAGTCTTAGTCTACCTTACCGGTCATACCGACCTCTGGAGTACTCGCTGCTAGCCTCCCTCGCCTTCATCTGACGTTACAGGCGGCTGCCCCTCCTGCCCTGCTAGTCCTAGGTACGCAGCTTGTCACAAAATCGCCGTTGCCGATGATCGTTTCTCTTCTCCCGTCTTCTGTCGTCTGTTCTGCTGTTTAGAGCTCCACTGCGACCTGGTAGACCCTGGTACACGAATAAGAGCCGTCGATCTAGCCGCTGCTGCTCGGTCGAATGCAAGGTTGACCCTCATCGCTTCCGTGGAAGCACGGTCCAACCTTGACCTCAAAAGCATCGTTGTGTCCCCGTAATCCGTCCAGGGTGGGGAATCTGTGCTCCCGTCCGGCGTCACCTAACATCACAACCCTTGGCGCCTCTGCTCACAATCGTGCTGCTGTCACGGATCGCACAAGCCCTCGAGAGCCCTGCATGCGAAACTGCTGCGTCTGGACCAGTACGGAAGTCTCACAAGATATCTTATTTCTACGTAATTCTCTTTTCAACGATACAAGTCAGAAGGAGAGTCTGAGCGCACGTATTTAAACACCCAACTGAAACCCCACCCGCCTCGTCCCTTCACCGTCTATCCGTCTGAACCAGCTCTGCGCGACTTTCCTCTGGTTCACTCGAGCTCCCCAAGAGCTGCAGACCTTTCCCCCGTCCCACTATTACCCATAGACTGCCCCTAGAGAACGCCAGCACCATGGCTGGGTTATTTCGCAAGGTGTACGACTGGTTGTTGAGGACATTCTGGTAAGTCGAGCTAACCGGCTATGCGCCAGCAACCGGCGCTTCACCGCAATGCTTTGGGCTCGAGTCGACAGCATCGTTCCATCACTGACCAGAAGAACCAGGGCCACAGAGATGGATGTCACCATGATCGGCCTCCAGAATGCAGGCAAAACTTCATTGCTAAGGGTTTTGTCGGTAAGTCGTCAATGATTGCCCCTGAATCATGGCTCCAGTCGCTAATAATACCCGTCCAGGGCGGAGAATTCACGATCGAGTAAGCTGCGTCCCGAGTCGTTCCTTTCTCTCAACCCACACCACGAAACCCATTCAATAGCCACCCGGCCGCTCGACCCCGACTGTCGCATAGCGCATATCTGATCAGGACAACTTGGCTGACCTTGTTTACTTTTGTAGTTCCATACCGACGATTGGTTTCAACATGAAGAAGGTACAGCGCGGTCACGTCACTCTCAAATGCTGGGATCTTGGTGGTCAACCGCGCTTCCGGCCCATGTGGGAGAGGTATTGCCGTGATGTCAACGCCATCGTGTTCATTGTGGATATTGCCGATGTTGACATCCTCCCCATGGCACGAGAAGAGCTGCATTCTCTCATGAATCAGCCGTCACTGGAAGGCATTCCACTTTTGGTACTTGGAAACAAGTCCGACTTGGAAGACAAGTTAACCGTCGATGAGCTCATCGATGCGATGGATCTGAAGAGCATCGGTCACCGCGAGGTCTCCTGCTATGGGATTAGCGCAAAGGAAGAGACCAATCTTGATGCCGTGATTCAGTGGCTCGTAAAGTTTGCGAATAACAGATGAGCTCCCGGCCATCGCTATACTTTGTGATCCGTGGTTTCGCCCGGCCTTGCTCAAGGATGCACGAACTCTTGACGAAATAACCCAGACTGGCGCAACTGGGTTCGCCGGCCACGACACTGACACCTGCTAGGGCCAAAATCGGCTCGTCTCGGTTGGTGATAACCGAATCATATATACCCGCCGGTGACGTATCTTTCTCGTCAAGGACCTGAGATTGTGAGCATGCCATCTACCCCCATACAACCCACCCTCTTGGCATTCTCTATCATTATTCTTCTGCATAGCAACGAAATGGCTTAGGCATAGAGCCTGTGAAAGGACTGAAGAATAGGACATCCCGCGACTAGAGAATTGGCGCTTGCCTCCCTGATATTCCCATTTCCTTGGTTGGATTCTCACTGAAAAACCCCTGTTTGAAGATGCCTGTGTAAGGATAGTTTGTAGCGCAGGATTGACGGTTCAGACCATTTATGAGACGATGAAGCTATGAGCTATATTGCGATAACTTATTTCCAATGAAATGACGATCTCAAAACATGCTAAACTTGTCTCGATACCTTGCGTGAAGAGCTGACGACTTGCCTAGCATGAGCATGTCCCAGGAGTGGGTGAAACTGCACCAATCTGGCGTGTACCATCTGAATAGCTTGGGCCGCTAGCCAGCTTATTCGGGCAGCGAGAGTGGGCTCTCTCCTGCGACAGACGAGACAGAACGAAGCGACATGAACGAAAAGCCGACGGATAGCCCATCTTAGAGAAAGGGACTTGGGCGTGCAAGAGAGAGAGATGTTTTGCAAAGATGAGAAAAGAATGGAAGTCTGGGGAGGTCGTGGGCAGCGAGAGCGGGCACGAAGGGGGATACTTGAAGGGCTACAACACACAGACCACTTTGATGCGTTGGCCAACTCATCGATGCATCTGGTGGTCTGGGGAGACGAGCCAACGAGAGCAGCGCGAACCTTGCAGATGCCGTGACGAGGATGATTGGGCGCAGCGGAAGCAACTCGTTGCAGGGGGGGTCCTCCCGGATCGACGAGCTACATGCGTGCTGCGTGTGGTAGTCTTTTTTGCTTTGCTCGTCGACGGGACGGACGACGATACGATTTCAATCGCTCTCTGTGCATTAGTCTGGCGAGAGTCTGGGTAGTGGTGAGCGGGCAGCACCGCCGCCGTGACGTGTTCGTACATGTAGTAGACGACTACCCTAGGTAGGGGCTTTTTACCTTTTCACCTCTACACCGATGAGGTAGGTATCTATTTGCAGTATGGTCGCTATCAATCTACCTTACCGACCGACCCGCGACCCTTACATTTGGCATTTTCTGGCTTGCATCAACGGGAGGGATAAGAAGTGCGCGCCGCCGACCGCCACATTGTCTTGCAGCTCCGGGAATAACTGGTGAGGATGGAGCTTGGGGAAAACGAGCACAGCACATCGCAGCACATAGCAAAGAGACAATTAGGTTCCCGACGTGCTACGACCAGTTAGATAGGCCGTAGGCACTGCGGCAGATGTGAACATGGAGCAGAATACCGGTACCGTCGTGCGCACATTCATTGCATTGACCGGAAGCAGCTGGGTGAGAGGGTGTTACTGTGCTACTGTACAGTACTGCCTCTCGGCAGCTCACCGGCCGATGTTTCAAGTCTACGGAAGGACTCAAGCTCTGAAAAATGGGAACGGATAGCCCGCGGGGTAGGCTAGGTGTGTTTCCTGGACAGCAACATTCACTGCTATCGAAGACCCGAAGGATGCGGCGGCGACGGGCTGCCTTGACCACCTCGGAATAGCTTCTACAAGGCAGACGCAGGAACCCCCCCCGGTGTTGGACCGATTCCTTTACGGCGCAAGAGGGACAAATAAAGACTTTGGGGTTCATTACTAAGGAAGATAGCTAAGTGGATAGACAAATCCTCCTCTTCCTCCTCAGTACCGCTTCCAACTGCCAGGGTTGGTTCTTCTAGAAGCGAGGCGAGGCGAGGCGTAGCTGGTGCTGGAGAGGTGGGCACGGGCGAAGTACCACTAACAAAGACCTTCAAGTGGTCCGCTGACCTGGCACTCCTGGCTCGCCTGGCTCACCTGGTTCGGCCGTGTTCCGTCGTGGCGGAGAGGTGCCAACGACACTACCTCACTACCATGTATACGCCGCACTTTTCAGGGCAGGCATCTTGTTCACATTGTCGGGGTTCGTTGTTTGGAATCATTTACGCTTCAGCCCTTCCCAAGTAAGGGCATCCTTAGGTAATATCTCAAATGACAATTAGGTCAGCCTGGTGACTGACTCGTAAGGACCGCTGCGCATCAACTTGCCGGCTCGGGCTGGTTGTTGAGAAGCCTTGCTGCGCTCGCTTCCGTATGGGGGAGCTTCTCTAGCGAGTACGCTGTACTGCATAGTACATAGCTCAAATGATGGCTGTGTTACGCGGGCAGGAATTACTACAGTATAACGTTAGGTATGATTGAAGATACCGCAGGTGGTCGCACAGGATCTGAGGTAGGGAGACAGGTGTTGGTGTTGTGCCTTATCGCGCAGGTCGGGCCGCTTTGGGCCAAGCATTTGCCCTCTAGAGACTTGAGATACTGTGCAACCGTAACTGTTCGCTCTTTGTCAGCCAACGCGGCTTCAATAACGACTTTCTCAAACCGGCGTCTTGGAGATCCGCTGGCTGGTACGTGACGAGCGCGAGTAAAGTGGTGAGACCGCCGAGTACCTTAGCACTGCTTAGCTGTCTCTGTCCGTGCGGCCCAGAGACGACGAGAGTTTGTTAGCGTCACCGGCCGGGCTTGGAAGGCGACTGACCAGAAGTACACAGCCACACGGACACGCCATCACCCATCATCCACTTGCATCCATCCACCCCAAACGAGCCAAAGTCTGCGCTGGAAGCTGCTAGCTGCTGGCTGCTGTGCCCAGCCCAGACCAGCCATTCCAAATGGCCCGTACTGCGTCAGATAGGCCTCCTCCCTTACCCCCCCGGCCGCCCCAACCGGCAGTCTTGGCCAAGCCGCCATCAAAAAAGCAGGCTTATAACTTAAAAGGGTCGCTGCTGTTTCGCCCTGTTCTGTCCTCTGATTCATCATTCCATTGCATTGACTTTGCGACGTCACCTCTCTAAATTTCCCACCACCATCGGCACACCCTCGACGACCGAAGTGACTTCTCATCAACCTACAACAACAACAACAACAACCTTCATCATCATCATCGTCAAACCGTCGCCACTGCATCTTCAAAGCATCAATCAACACAATCAGAGAAATCAGATCCCGCCAAGAATTCTCACACATTGCGAATCGAGCTAAGCTTTCGCGAAAATGGCACCGTTAGCCGATGAACTGGCCGCCGTGGTCAGCAGAGAGTAGGTTCTTTGAAAGCGCATCCGCCCAGATGAAGACGCGCGCATTGCTAACTTTGCATCTCCAGTGTTCGCTGCTCTTCAGGCTACTACTACAGTGGAGGATATTGCTATAGATACAGCTCCTGGTATTGGTGGGGGCGATGGGTATTCGCCGGCGTTGTCATCCTCTTCATCATCGTTCTGCTCTTCCTGCTTGGGTAAGTGGCTGCTCCTCCCACATCAATTCACCTGCAGTCTTGACTGAATTTGCGATGGCTAACACTCTCGACCCCAGATGCATGAACGCCCGCCGCAGGAGAAGAAGAGGCCTGCAGCCGCGCTACGGCACCGGCTGGATGGGCGGGCCCCCGGCCTACACCCCGGGCAACTACAACCAGCCCCCGCCGCCGCAGTACCAGCAGCAGCAGCCGCAGTACACGGGCAACACGTTCAACAGCAACGAGGGCTACTACGGGACCCACAACGAGGGCATCAACCTCCAGCAGCCCCAGCAGTCGTACTACCCGAGGAGCGGCGACGACAGCGGCTACGCTCCCCCGCCCGGCCCGCCTCCGAGCAAGATTCACTAAGCGGATTTTGGAAGTTTCCAGCTTGAGGAGGATATGATCGAGGGAAAGGGAGGCTGTTGGAAACGATGATGCTAGATGTTATATGACGTACGCACGTGCGAGGTAGAGGACGGGGTGTTGACGGGGTGGATCATTATACCAAAAATCTGGCGTTGGTGGTCTCGGTAGCTTGGCTTTGTTTCCTCTTTCTTCCATAATGACGCGGGAGGGACATATTGCAGGTGAACGGCGGCATACGCCGTGCATGAGGCATGGAAAGGTCTATAAGGATCAATTCATGTAGTATTTCTCAGTCCTGTTACTACAGCCACGCAAGGCAAGGCTCGCTACCTGTGTGTGGGCTAGCTCCTATCAATCAATCAAGTAATCAATCAACCAATAAATGAGACCTCTCACATGCAACTCATAGCGACGTGCTTCTGAAGAAACTTGGCCACACGGCTCTGGATTTCTCGACACTGCTGCTGATACTACTTCATCGTTCTCAGCCAGGGAAGCATGAATCTGCGGCATACGCCGACCAATAATTGGCCTCGGAAAACGGCACGCAAGATATTCATGAGGGTGTCTACCTTATAAGCCTTGGTCCTGTAAACGACACTCAGCATGAGCATCTGATTTAAGCCTATACCAACAAAGGCTCCCTCCGCCGGATACTATCGATCAATCCAGAACGCGTGGTTTGCGGCATGCCGTTATTGTGGCGAGATGCCTCATCAGCCTGCTGTGGCTAAGAGCTTCCGAGTAGCATGCTGCAGCCCTTTCCCCGCGTGAGCTGCATCCGGCTAGGGCCGTTTTTGTCGCCATTCCACTCCGTGATAACCTCACGTGAGAGTCAAGCGATAGAAAGGCTTCCTTCTTGACAGTACCGGTAGTGTGTTTGCCGCTTATTAGAAAGCACGCCTTCAGGTCAGTCACGATCTTCTCCCCGCGCGCGCGCGCAGGGGCCCTCTGACGGCACGGTGTGTAATGAAAAGCAATCAATGCTTGCCCAGGGCCTGCATATCCTACGCAAGCCAAGCCAAGATTAGGGACAATTTCCTACCCCTGGATCTGAGTCTAAAGTTTCTGAGCGTGCAACTCCGCAATAACCGTCCGAGTCTAAAATCTGCGAGACAGAGAGAAAAGGAAGGAAGGGAAAAAACATAGCAGGACCGTTATGACGGTGCTTACCTCTCCTTACTCCAGCTTACTATGTACTACGGCACTGGAAGCGGGCCACCTGCAGCCGGCGCTGTCGATGGTCATCTTGAAATGCTTGGGGCCCTGCAGCAAAAGGGAAAGGCGGATGCGCGATCGCAATTCCCCCCCACTGGCCGGACACCTTGACACATGCTAAGATCCCTCCTGCAGCTCGGCTCGCTTATCACCATCACCGCTCATCAGCGGCCTAAACTGCCGTTGCAAGCTTGCAAAAGGTGGTCATGGTGGTGTGTGGGCGCCCTCTTTCTTGAGGTGTCGCCGTCGCTCTTCTGGGTTCTCCTGAATTTTGCGTGCAATTGAGTTAGGACCCCTAGCGCGATACCGACTCTAGAGTAAGAAGCCAGGGGACTGAAGAGCCTTGACCGCAACGGCGTAGGATGTAGATCGCGGGCAAGAAGAAGTCTTTTTCTTATTATCCCTCAATTCCGCCATTTTCTTTTCTTGTTTCGACACACCACCAGCGCCAGTCCATTCTCCCCGTTTGGCTGTGACCTTGTCGGTGCGCTGTTAGTCGGTCAGTCGCTCATTATTTCCCGTACAGACAAAACAAATCCATTCGTTCAAAGAAGAGCAGAAGGTCTCAGTCTCCCGTTTTCTCATATCTTGAGAGTCTCTTATCTCTCTTGAGAACTCTTCTTGACCAGATCCGGTTTTATGATATCACATTTCCCCCCGGATCGGATAGACCCTACCGTTCGTTTCTCTCTTTACGAACCCGGACCGTTGGACGGACAAGAAGCCGGCCTACACCACGCCATCCGCGTATATTCAGGTCACGAGAACTGAGTTGGTGGACGCAAGGAGGAGCAGCACCGGCGCCCTACAGCAGAAAAACAGCAGCCTATTCGAATTCAAACCCCGTGTTGAGAAGAACCACTGCCAATCAGTGCCTCCCTGTCTGGTCTTTTCACTGTCAGACAACCCACCGCCGAGCCTTGGTTCGTTTTGGAGGGGCACAGTCGATTTATTTTCGGAGCCTTGGTGCTGAGTGTGCTGGCTGAGCTGAGCTGCTTTGGTGAGCAGTAATTTTGTATTGGCATAATACATAGTAAGGAAGAGGGGACTTGCACCTCCTCTCACACCACCTCACCTCACCTCGCTCACCAAACCAAACCAAACGCGCACACATACACTGCTGCAGTAGCCCGTTAGCGCTAGGGCGGTTCCTGCACTAGCACAGCCCAGTTTCAGTCCCCGACTGCGAGACGAACCAAAACGCTGGGCTAAGCTCTCCGTCCCCTCGCCTACCGTTCATTTACACCCATTAATTGTCCCTCCGCCTCCCAACCCTCTTGCAGCAGGGGGCGAGGCTTGGACCACCTATTCCTCGACGCCGCCGTTGTGCCTTGCTTTTCTCACCTCCCTCGACAGACAGCCAGACGGACAATTCAATTGTAAATTGTAACGACGTTCGCTCTTTTTCTTTTCTCCGTCGCTTCTCCTTTTCGCTTGGACCAGCGACAACCAAAACAGTCGACTTTCACGACGCTGGGGGGTTCTCTTCACATTGAGCAAAACAAACGACACGACACGACAGGCAGGGTTACCAGGAATCCCGCGCTCGGGAGGGTTTTAGGCTGTTGCTGCGAAGGAAATCTCCCCCAAAGACGATCATACACCACACGAGCAAGCGACATCCCAGAATGGAATCATAGCAGGAGAACCCTGCTGTAAGTCCGATCGCCTTATTATACGCCGCCGCCGTTTATCCACCCAAACCAGAGGTTAGCTACATCAGCAGCAGCATCAGCAGCACCACAACCACAACCACAACCACCCCCGTGTGGGTCCGTTTGTGTGTTCTGTTCTTCGCAAGCAACCTCAGCTCTTTCCGCTCGCTGAGCGGAGTCAAATCGGGCCCACGATGCCTTCGATAGATGTTGCCATGGAGAGGAGTATGAGGAGGGGCGTCACAGAATTGGTAGCCGCGGCCATGCGTCCAGTGCTGGAGGGAAGGGGGATTGTTGCCGACGCTCAGAATCAGGTTGACGATGTGAAGACTGCTTTTTCTAGCTGGGACAACTGCATGCAGGCCGCCTATTGCAAGTGCGTTCTCCCCGAGACTCCAGGGTGGTGTATACTGTGTTGCTAACAAGCATGTGCAGGTGGCCGGTCATTGCCATAATTGTTATTGGCGGCCTGATCATATTCTCTATAGTCTGGTGCATTGCGCGGTGTCTGTGCTGCGGCCTCTCGTGCTGCTGCGAATGCTGCTACTGCCTCAAGTGCTGCGGTGAGTGCTGCGGCTGCTGCTCGCCGCCGAGAGGCCGGCGCCACAAGTACCTCGACGAGCCGTACATCCCGCCGAACCAGGGCTACCGCTCGGAAGCGCCCATGACCGCGGGCGCGCTGCCGGCGAAGCCCTCGCCGTTCCCCAGCGCCGCTGCCGCCTCGGCGCCGCAGTACGCCGAGTTCGAGACGAGCAAGAAGGGTGGGGCGCACGAGGACGCCCTGCCGGAGATGCCTAGCTGGGAGGGTGCGGGAAGCAAGAAGGTGCTTGTGGAGGACGAGCCCGTTGAGCTGGAGCAGCTGAAGAAGCCCGCCACGACCGAGCTCAACACCCAGGGTGCGCAGAACGTCCCCCTCATGGCTGGTGGCCATGTTCCGGGGCCTGCTAGTCCCATCTCGCCGGACTCCAGGAGCCCGTATGGTGTCCCGGGCAGCCAGTCTGCCTCGAGTGGATATCTCGGTGCGGGCGCTCCTCCTGCTGCTGCCGGTGCCCATGATCACAATGATCCGTATGGCTTGGGCGACCAGCCGTACAGCCAGAACGCAGGTGGATACGGACAGCAGTCGCAGACGTCTTTCGGGAATGATCAAGCCTATGGTATGGCTGGTGCTGCTGGTGTGGCCGGAGCCGGCATGGCTGGTGCAGCGATGGGACCGGGCAGACGGTCTCCCAGAGTCAACAACGGTGGCTATGGCCAACAGCCCATGGGCCAAGGGCCAATGGACCGAGGATATCAAAACCCCCAGGACTACAACAACGCTTACGGGAGGAGCCAGTCTCGCGGCCCTGCGGACCAAGGTTACGGCATGGGTCCTGGACGCCGGTCACCGCCTCGCGGCCCTAATGGCTCTAACGGTCCCAATGGCCCTGTCCGTCCAAATATGATGGGCGGAGCGGCCTACCCAGACCGCGAACGCCGCTCTCCCGCTCCACAGGGAGATCGCGGGTACGGCAACAACTACAACAACCGGCCGTATCCTCCCAACCCCCAGAGACAGTACTCATCCGATTCCACACGCCCTCTGGCACGCCCTCCCCCACAACGTCAGTTCACAGACGAGTACCCACCACCCTCTCCTACAAGCCTACAGAACAACTCGGGCTTCGACTTCAACTCCGGGTTCAGCAGGCCACCGCCATACTCTAACAACAGCTCTTACGAGAGACGTCCTAGTGAGAGCAGCCGCCAGGGCAACCAGGGCATCCCGACGTCCTCCAGCGGCGGTGGACAGGCGTATCCCGGATACAAGCCGTACCAGCCGGCCCAGGATAATACTAGGCAACAAGACGGATGGAGCGGTCTGTAAATCGCCAGATAATCCGTTAAAGCTACGATGGTGTGTTCATATAAGCGGTGTTTATCTGCTGCGGATGGATTCAGTTACGCATATATATATTATACTGTACTGTACGACCAGACGACGGTGTTCTTTCTCGGTTGATATCCAACGACAAATCGTTTCAGCATTTACTACAAAACGGAGATGGGTGTTGGTGTATACAAAACTTCATTCTACCTTTTTTTTTTCTCTCTCTCCCTCTACGTCATCACGGCATGTCATCGGCTTCTTTTTTCAACATCTATTCAACTTCTTTCATTGGGGATGGGGGGCCTCTTGGAGTTGGCTGTCAGGTGTTTTTTTATCATCGTATGTGTGATCATGTATCCAAGGCGAGGTGGATCCTCTTGTGGATGTGGATGCGTCTTCTCTTCATAATGGGCGTGGGGGAGAACTTGCATGGTGATGGTTCTTGTGGGCAAATATCACGGTCCTAGAGCTCAGCGAGATTTTAGATGGCGGTGAAGTGGTAGAATGTGGATGACTGCCACCAGGCCTGGTAGCCTGGAGTCTCTTCAGGTCGGACCCGGGCCTTGTCTGCAGCAGTAGCAGAAGCTGCAGCTGCAGCTCCCGGGGGTAATGGGGGGGTTTCTTGGAGACGCGCGTCATCTTGGCTAGAGGAGATGCTGGAAGCAGAGAGTCGCTGGGCGCTGCTCGGGAGCTAGGCAAATAAGCTTAAAAGTAAGGTATGGCTGGAGCCGCGATGTCAGGCCCAGTCGTAACTACACGGTTTAGGTGGAATGGCAAGAACATTGAACCAACAAAATGCTCTTATTCGTGATTTGTCTGCAAGGAGTCCGCTCGTAGTCATAGTTCCTTAGCGAAGCTAGTATGCGTACAAATGGTCATATGTCAGTGGGAGTTGATTATCACGTTTATAACACTATCATCGCTATGCTAGCGCCAACAACGCCGTGACGGACAGTCTCTCGCATGTGTCCGTGGTCATCTGTATGTATATCCAACGCCTGGGTGTCTGTATACAATGCCTGGGAGCAAACGCAGGCATGCCAGCGCGAAGCAGAGAATCCGCAGTAGTCCAAGTTCCCAATTCAACGACCGGCTAGAAATATCAATGATGAATGGGGGTGGGCCTTTCACTCGTGGGGGAAGAGCTCTTCCTGGATCAGCTTGCCCCTGGCGTCCCGCTTGTCCTTCCCGCTCGAGGTGCTCCCGATCACGGTCTGCGAGTCCCCGTCCGTGGCCGGGTCATACTCGCGCGTCGTGTCCTTGACCTGGTCCGCCTTGGTGCTCTGGCCCTGGCGCCTGTGCGCCTTGATGTCCTCCTCGTCCTCGAGCTCGACCGAGTCCTCGTCGTCGCCGCTCTCGCTCAGGTGGTCGTACGCCGCGGCGTGGGCGTGGGCGTGGGCGTGGGCGTGGGCGGTGCCGACCTCGGGCTCGCCGTCGTCGTCCTTGGGCGCCTGCTTCTTGATGAAGCTGTCGATGATGTAGTACTGCAGGGCGTTCATGATGAGCGGGAAGACCATCATGACGAAGGCGACCTGCAGGCGCTCGTTGCCCTCGGTCCAGCCCAGCGCCCAGTCGCCGATGCGCGAGATCCACGGCATCATCAGGAAGATTATGAGCACGCACAGCTTCATCCCGAACAGCCCGCAGAAGTAGATCAGCGACTGCTTGAGCCACCACCACGCGCGCGGCGGGCTGCCGTAGTTGCCGCTCTGGATCGACTCGGGCGGGTTGCCGGCGGGGGTGAGCGCCACGAGGCCGGTGACGATGCGGAGGAGGAAGATGAGGATGGGGATGCCGAGCGTCGTCTGGGGTGTGTATGTTAGTGGCTGGGACGGCAGATGAGTCAGGGAATACGTACGTCAATAGCAAGGTTGAGTAGATAGGAGGAGCATGGGTTCGGGGTATATTCTTCGCCTCTTCTCAGGAGCCTCGCGGCACCCGAGACCGCTGCCGGCTCGAGGCTGACGGAGAAGCGACCAGAGGTCAACATCGACATGACGACATTCGCAACATGCAGGAGGGCGGACCCAAACACCTGCTTCGAGGCGTCAAAGAACCATATTTTGACCGGCCGTTGAGGTCTTTCTCGCCAGCGCTTGTAGACCAGAGCCAAGAGAGCCAGGGCGCCAAGGGCCAGCTGAACCAGGAGAGCAAAGGGCCCTAATAGTCTGCACTCTCCGTTGGAGTCGTCATCATCTGATCCCTTATCTGCTACGGCGGTAGCCGCAGCCGTTGCTGCTGCTATGACGCCGCTCGCCATCGTCGCTATCGCACCATCGAGGGTGGCCGTTGGGACATCGACGCCGACTGGGTTGGGAGCCGTTGCTATATGAAAGACTCCATCTGCACGAGGGAGGATTGGGGCATCGCGGACGATATGAGCAACAGCCTGCACGAGGGCAGCTGGGGGAGACATCCCCAGAGGAATCACGGCGTGCTGCAGTGAAGTTGTGAAAGTGTCCGCTTCGGGGGATGCAGCTCCGAGATGATAAGTCGTTGTCGAGCGGTCGAATGACTGAAGAGCCGCCTAACTGTAGAGCGGGCGCAGAGTCAAGCAATCACACGAGAAAAGGAAAGGACAGAATAAGAATTACGAAGGGAAGAAGAGGCCCGGATACATATCGCAAGGCCAGAAATGTTGGGGGCAACGTCGTGTGAAGATACCTACCACATTGAATGGGGCGGTGGTCGAGGTCATGTTGTAATGGTTAGTCAGGAGGGATGGCTGAGACACGCCGTTGATTGGACCCGGCACAGCCTAACGGCTGCCTGCACAGCGCCTCCAACTGCAGCTCCTTGGGCTGACCACACCCTAAAATCTCGGATCTACAGCATGTGGCCGGCAAAAGTGTTAGTAGGGGGCTCTTGGCTCTTACCATTTGCGATCCTGGTCTGCGTCCTCTTCTGGCATTGCGAAGCTCCACTGCGCATGACCACCGACCTGAAGAGCCTAGGCTCTAACAAAGGTAAGCTTAAATAAGGTAATTCGGCAAGCCACTATCGGTTGCATATCCAAATGAGGTATAATTACGACAATGGTCGAGCGATTGAATAGAGATGTCTTGAGAGGCATCGTATACAGCATGGACTCTTTGTCGAGATATTGATAGCGGGTTGAGGTGAAGAGACTCATCGCCATTGCCGTTTACTTCACGACAAAATGAACACGTCTACATTCCGAGCAGCATATCACACATCACGAGTCACAAAACATCTCTCTTCAAGAGGAGGCTAAGAGATATGAAAGAGGGTAACTGCCTTGTAGCAAGGCTGCGTTGCATTCTTCCCATGCCGTCGTGGCTCAGCAAGCTGTCCATAAAACAAAACACAATTTATATTCACACGCAATACCTGTGAAAAAGCAGACGCCAGTGTCCATAGACCACACCATAAGAGGGCAGTGATGCCACTTCCTATTCCCCGAACCCGGCAAATTGAGCCAACCAAACCATCAATTATCATGTCGTAACGAAACGCATTCCTTTAGGTATGTGTGAGAGAGAGGAGGATATGTATGAGGGGTAGCCAAAGCCACGCCAGATCCCGACTGTCAAAATTTTCCGCACGTAGTTTTCCCATGGGCCTTGTTCTCCAGATCGAGACTCTTACAGTGTTTGGTTACACTAGGCGCACTCTGGGACCGTAGGAAGTAGACTGCGAATAAAGCTGGTGACGGGGCTGCGAGCCCCGCCGGTGACCATCGGCTTGCCCTTGTTGGGGATCGCCTTGGATCCCGCAGGAGTAATGGTGATTGATGACGAAGACGAGCCTGCTGATGATCGAGAATGCAGGTGCCTATCCGCAGGCCCGTCTGATTGTCAATCGATGCCGTGCTGTCTCTTGAGCTGCGCTAAATTCTCCTTGCGAGCCTCGAGGTCCTCTTTTGACTTGGCCATCTTCTCGGGCTGATGATATAGAACTACAAAGAGATGTTAGAGACACACATACACACATAACGTATCTAGAGGATGATACGTACCGACAAGGTAGCGGTTCTGGAAGTTGAAGCCGTTGAGCTTGTCGCAGGCCTGCTTCGCATCCATTACGTCTTCATAGACAACGAAAGCAGTGCCCTTGGTATTGGACGCAATGCCCTGGCGGACCTGGCTGTAGGAGCTATTAGCATTGGGGACAGAGAGAGGTTGCATGCTGGGAGAGCGTACCGAATAGGCCCAAACTTGCCGAAGAGGTCGAACAACTCCTCGGGAGTTACGTTGTAGCTATCGAATGAGTCAGCAGAAGTTCATTGAGTATAGTTCATTTCGGTAGGAGAGGCAACGGACCTTAGATTCTTGACGAATAAAGCTCTGTTGATGCTCACGTGGTTAGCAAAGTGATGCCCAGACATTTGGTGATAGTGATAGAGGGACCCTGGGGGACCCTGGAAGGACGCAGAAAACGCGGGGCGGGCGTACCGATTGACCTCCGGGGCAAGCTTGCCGGCTCGACTCATATCTTGATGGCAGGTATCGGGTGCACGTCTACTCTCAAGTGGTGCTAAGTAGATGGCGACGCAGTCGTTGCTGGGGAGGGTGGTGGTGGGTTGGGATGTGGGATTGGTGATAAGTCGTTCGAAAAGGCGAGAAAGGAAGCGTGGAAAGAGTATGCGGAGATGTCGAAAAGGGCGCTAATCCTCTCTCGGCCAGGCAGCCTCGTCGCCTGCCCATGTCGCTCGCTGCGCTGAGGACTTACGAGCTTCTCTCCGATTCGCTCCGCGCTCCACTCTTTCCACGTGACACGTCACACCCACGCTCTAGCGGGTCTGTGCTGCTTCCCTGTTTGGGTTTCCTGCCTGGGTGAGGGTCAGTCAGTGTTGCCTTGGGCTACCTTGCTGGTTTTCAGTGGCTCCCCCCCTGTAAGTCAGTGCCTTGACCACAAAGGTGCTTTGTTTTTAGTGGCTCCGGGAGAACCTTCAGGGTGGGAGAGCCACCTAACCACCACTGTATTACTGACTGCCGATGATTCGACGACCTAAGATCCCAGTCGTAGGTATCCATCCAACTTCGACCGACACGCCCCAAAACCGCTCAAACCCAACCACTCGTTCGGCCACGACACGGGCCAGCTCATCCACGTCGTCTATGAGCTTGGCCATAACAATCAATCCTCATCGAATGCGTGGGGAGCAGCTTTCTGCCCCGTCTGCGTACCCCGAGACAGCATATCTTCATCGCTACAATGCCGTCAGTCACGCAGGAACAGTCCTTCGTCCCCTCTAAGAAACGGCGGCGAGACGACAACGATGGCGAGATTCGCCTGCCATTGTACGCCCACTTCCACCCTAGACTCTCGAATCGCTGGGCTGATGACTTGCACAACAGCGCTCAGGACATTGAGCCTTCACAAAACATCTATGCCGTCTCTTTCGACGACCCTCATCACAACAACTTCGCCTTCCGGCAACGGCAACATGAACAACAACACGATAGTCGAGAGCACTTCTCGGGTAACCACCCGCTCGCCCGTAAGATAATACCATTACCTACGGCAAAGAGAGCGCGGCTATACGACGAGGAGCTGGAAAATGGTTCTCGGCAGGGATTGGCAGAGTCTCGTGGACAGCAGCGACAACAGTCAGCACCATCTTCACCGCGTCACACCAAATCTCCTTCAAAGGAACTCCAACAAACCAGCGGCAACAGTCGACCCGCTGCGGCGAGGACGACCTCATCAGCACTCCTCAGTCCCTGCCACATATGTCACAGGAAACCAACGAAAAGGTCGGATCTGGACTCATATGCAGATTGTATGGGCTGCGGGCAAAGAACATGCTACGTCTGCATTCGGGAGTGTCTAGGCTGGAAGGTGCCAGAGCGTGAAGATGACGAGATGCCCAGCCAGCTGGAGGAGAATCTGTCTGCCTCCTTCCACATGGAGGATGCACCGAACGAGAACGAGACTGGACCAGAAAGTGGAAACGTGGACCAGAAAGAGCAAAAGATAGCGGACTGGGCAACGGGCGGAAGAGGACACCGTCCAATGGTCTGTAGTCGGTGCTGCATCGAGCGGCCGACAGACGGAGAGATCATTTGCTTTGGATGCTTGCCTTTCGTCGAAGCGTAGGGCTTGGGCGCTGTTGATTTACGAATGCATTTGGGGCGGACAGCGGAACAACACATTTTACGAACTCACTCAAAGATATCCACGAACTGCACCCATGTATTGCACGGCCGCAGAAGGCCATAGTTGGTTTAATCATGTTAGCATTACGTTCTTGAGGGCCGGGCAAGGCTCCGGTACCTACTTCTGTAAATTTAGTCACCACCCCTTCGTAGGGCGTTGGTATGGGTTGGGAACTTGCTGTTTTATCACCACGTAGGGACAACACAGTGGCAATTATACGAGCGTATTCATTGCAAAGAACCGGCGGATAGTCGCCCTAGCATAGCTCAGAAAGACGCCGCATGAATGACAAATAAGACTACAAGACACCATGGATTCAACTTGATCTCTATGCTGTCTATTGACTGTTCCAGTTCCCCATACTCGTACATGACGATGGTCCGTAGGCCATCTTAATTATACTGCATGTATGTAGCAGTCGAGTTGAACTTCAAGTTGCCCTTGATCACCTTGTCCACCGCGCTCAGGAAGTCCTTCTCTGAGGCAACCTTTCTCCTGGCACGGATGGCGAACATGCCTGCCTCTGTGCAGACACTGCGCAGCTCGGCACCGGTAGCATTGGGGCAGAGACGAGAAATCAGCTCCCAGCGAATGTCTCGCTCCACGGACATACTCTTGGCGTGGATACGGAGAATGTTTGCACGACCCTCGAGATCAGGTAGCGAGAACTCGATCTTTCGATCGATACGGCCGGGTCTCATCAAGGCAGGATCCAGAGTCGACGGTCTGTTTGTGGCGAACATGACCTTGATGTTGCCTCGAGCATCAAAACCGTCCAGCTGGGTGATCAGCTCCAGCATAGTTCTCTGGACTTCGTTATCACCACCAGCACCATCATCGAAACGAGCGCCGCCAATAGCATCGATTTCGTCAAAGAAAATGATGCAAGCCTTCTTTGTCCGGGCCATCTCGAACAGCTCACGGACCATACGAGCACCCTCACCAACGTACTTCTGTACCAACTCGCTTCCAATAACTCGGATGAACGTTGCGTCGGTTCTGTTCGCCACAGCACGAGCACACAGCGTCTTTCCTGTTCCAGGAGGGCCGTACAGCAGCGCTCCCTTCGGTGGGTCGATACCAAGGTTTACGAACCGCTCGGGTGACAACAGCGGCATCTCGACGACCTCTCGCAGCTTCTCGACCTGCTCTTTGCAGCCACCGACATCACCGTACGTAACATCAGGCTTCTCCTCGACCGTCATCATTGTAACGCTGGCATCGATCTTGGGCGGCAGGGGTAGCAGGATCTGGTACTTATTGCGGTCGACGCCGACACGCATGCCCTCCTCGATATCCGTGGGGCTGACGCGCTCGCCCAACTGGACAACGAACTTGGCAATCTGCTTGACGTTGATGACATACTTGCTCTTGGAGTCGTCCTTCTCGTCGGCGATGATCTTGGTGCACCGCGCTACTTGAAGCGGTTGCTCTTCTGACATGCGCTGACGGTCGGCGGCGACATCCCAGAGGTGAGGCGGCGCCAGCCCCGTGTCCGACTCCTTGACGCCGATCTTCTCGTCCACACTCTGCTGCTTCTCTTTTATCTGTTGCTCGAGCTTCTTGAGGGCTGCTCCGTAGGGCGCGGCGCCGTAGGTCTTGAGGACTTGGATGTCCCTGGTGACAACGGGTTAGCTAGCTTCGAGGGAGGAGAAAGGATGTATTAACAAGGTGCGACATACTCATCTGTGAGAGGTGTGATCTTCTTCTCCTCAATCTCGTCATCTGCATATTTCTTTTGGTACTTCTCCCAGTTTGATCCCGTGGCAGAAGGCTGAGATTCATTAGCTCTGGCACTGTTGGCAGCAACCAGCTGGGGGCAATACGGACCATCTTGACGCTTGTCGGGGGAGGACTCAGGTCCCCGAAAACAAGGCGCTGGGGATTCTGCAAAGAAGTCTCGTCGTAGAATTAAAATCCGTTTGAGGTGAGGCGTCTCGCGGAGAGTATATCGTCGCCGAGATGGTGGTGATGGGGATGAGGGAAGTCGCTGTTGAAGTTGTTTGCTTTGAGAGGATGATTGGGGTGCTGGGAGACGCATCCGTAATCCAAGTTGCCTTGAGCTTCCACGCCTGGAGGTGCACGTCCCCGGCGAGGCTGACCCAGCGCTACGTACAGGTACCTCAAGGCAAGCTAATGCGAAAGCTGACTTAGCGCCACACCCCACCAAACCCAACTGCCTCCTGCTGCCGGCAGGAAGAACCTTCGACACCGACTTAAAAAATATCCAGCCAGGCACACTGTATGAGGGGAGTACCTAGAGCTTGACCCACGCCGCGAAGATACTACCTCTCGACCATAGTATCCTCCCCCAGCAAAGACACTCGACGACAACACAGAAGCGCACAGAAATCGTGTCAACATGGCGACTACAGAGAGTGCGGGAGTCGGCTCAAATGCTGCTTTCCGGGTATGCTGAAGCTCCTACCAAGCTCCCCCGTAGCTATTGCTAATCGTGCTACAGAATAAGGAGAAACCCTTGGCCGTCAGGTCGTCCAATATCGTCGCCGCCAGAGGTATGAGCTCCACTCGACATATCATTAAGACCTAGTTTAACGAGTGAATAGCTGTCGCCGATGCCATCAGAACATCTCTAGGACCGCGGGGTATGGACAAGATGATTCGCAGCGGGAAGGGCGAGACCATTATCACCAACGACGGCAGCACCATGCTCAAGAGCATGTCAGTCATGCACCCCACAGCGAAGATGCTTGTAAACCTCTCAAACGCACAAGACGTGGAGGCAGGAGATGGCACAACCTCCGTGGTGGTTATCTGCGGCAGCCTGCTGGGTGCTGCAGACCGACTACTATCCAAGGGCATCCACCCCTCAGTCATTTCAGAGGCGTTCCAAAGAGCCGCAGCAGCAGCAGTACAAGTCCTCCACGACATGTCAATACCGGTTTCGCTATCAGACAATTCAGCACTACTTCAGGCTGCCAATACCTCCCTGTCATCAAAGATCGTGTCACAGTACTCTAACCTTCTCGGCCCTATGGCAGTCAACTCAGTCACGAAGACGATCGATGTCAAGACAGCGGACAATGTGGACCTGAAGAACATCAGAATAATCAAGAAGGTTGGCGGTACAATCGAGGACAGCGAGCTAGTCGACGGCCTCGTCCTCACACAACCAGTGATGAAGAACGCCGGCGGTCCTGCTCGCATGGAGAAGGCCCGGATCGGCCTCATCCAGTTCCAGCTAAGCCCGCCCAAGCCAGATATGGAGAACACCATTGCTGTGAACGACTACCGACAGATGGATAAGATTGTGAAGGAGGAGCGCCTATACCTCCTGAACATGGTGAAGAAGATCAAGAAGGCCAAGTGCAACGTCCTCTTCATCCAGAAGTCGATCCTACGCGATGCTGTTAACGACCTCAGTTTGCACTTTCTCGCCAAGCTGAACATTCTCGCTGTCAAGGATATTGAGCGTGACGAGGTCGAGTTCATCTGCAAGTCCACCGGCTGCAAGCCCATCGCGGATATCGATTCCTTCACCGAAGACAAGCTGGGCACGGCTGATCTCGTAGAGGAGTCGCAGTCGTCCGGCAGCCGCATGGTCAAGGTCACCGGCACCAAGTCGGCCGGCAAGACCGTCTCCGTCGTTGTACGCGGCGCCAACTCGATGATTTTGGACGAGGCTGAGCGATCTCTACACGACGCCCTGTGCGTCATCCGCTGTCTGGTCAAGAAGAAGGCTCTGATCGCCGGAGGCGGTGCTGCCGAGATTGAGATCGCCTCACAGCTGAGCAAACAGTCCCGCGAGCTGACCGGGACTGAGGCTATCTGCTGGAAGGCGTTCGCAGACGCTCTAGAAGTCATTCCGACAACATTAGCGGAGAATGCTGGTCTCAACCCTATCAAGGTCGTAACAGACCTAAGACATAGGCATGAGATGGGTGAGAGGAACGCTGGTGTCAGCATCAAGTCTGGTGGAGTGAACTCCAACATTTCTAAGGAGAACGTGCTGCAGCCACTGTTGGTGAGCACGAGCGCGATTGAACTCGCGGCGGAGACTGTGAAGATGATTCTGAGGATAGACGATATTGCGCTGAGTAGGTAAAGCGATTTATTCTGTTAGAGGGAGAGGGAAAGAATGCCTAGACGGAGTGTGAGGATTGTAAATTATAATCTACTAGAGGTATTCAGTCATGATTACGAGATACTCTTGAGCATCAATGGAATGAGGGTTTTACCTACTGCATTAATTAATCTGCCCTTCGCTTCGGACAAATACATTGCTGTCCTCGAACTATCTTAGATCTATACACAAGCTCGATGCGTGAATACTATTCGCCTGATCCTGTTTCTTTGCTCTATAAGTATCTAACAGCATTTGTGACTATCCTCTACTCTAGTCGTGTTTAAGACAAATTTCCCCTGAATCAGGATGCACCTCTCTCGTCTTCATTCTCGATCTTACTAGTAGGTATCTCTCTGAGCACTCCAATTCTGAACAATATATCATTTTCGCGGCACCTTAAAACACGCCCTCGTGAGATTGCCTTTCTACATTGCTCCAAAAATGTGTTCCAGTTGCAATACGTAGATGGCCAGGTGATCAGAGACTGAAAATTCTTGATGATAGTAGCAGAGTCTTCGTTAGAGACAACTCGACAGACTTCCTCAATATCAGCGTATACCGGCGGTTCCAATGTTGTTGTAATTTTTGAGTCGCGGATATAGATAACACGGCCTTTCACAGTTGTGTTGATGCATTTGCAGCGTAATAGGAGAGAGTCCTTCAACCTTTTTGCGGTAATGTCTGACGGTCCAGGTATCAACTGGCTAAGGATTGCTTCCAGAGCTACAAACGCAGGTACTCTGATGACCATCCGTTGCGTCTTTTCTCGAGGAAGCAACGTGATTGCTATCACTTCGTCTAGTGTAAGCAGAACAGCGCCGTATGAACAATCCATGTATACGGAAAAATACACGAAGTCAGTAAGTTTTCCTCCATGCTGAAGGAACCGGGCGATAGTCTGTATGACCAAATTTGAGCTGTTGAAGTACCTGTTTCGGTCAAGAAACCTATGATCAAGCAGTTTACAAAGAGTATACTCCAAGAATCTCACAAACGGCGTTTCGACCTTCAAAACTATGTCGTCAGAACAAAGATGGGGTGGCACAACTCCACGCCATTGGGGATCAGCACCATTCTCCAACAGCCACTCAATGAGAGTAGATTTCTGTTCCATATCGTACAAGCCCTTGTATGCCTCACTGCCTACGGAGCAAAGAAGCAATTCTGATCGAGAGATATTAGACATTGTCTGGTCTTTGACATGATCAAGGACGAATTGGTCCAGGTGATTAAGGGTGCACATCGCCAGGAATTGGGTTGGCTCAGAGTACTGACACTCCTGCAATTTGCGGCAAGACCCTAGCTGTCTGGACGTGTACAAATCTTCACATATAGAAGTGATTCGTCCTAGCTCACGATGCAAGGTTGTCTGAGCCTTTGAGAGCCGTTGCCCAAGGTGACGAATATCTTCCAGAATCGCCTCCACGTCGTAGTTTCTGGTTTTTGTGATACTGGAAAAGACTTTGTAATGAGCAAGGCAAGCTTGAACCATGCGAACAAAGAGTTCGTCCTCGGGAGTCGAATCATAACTCAAAATATTCTGACCTTCATGAGTTCCAAGGAGGAACTCTTCAGCTGTTCGGTCTACGATATCAAGAGTCAGTAATTGTTATCTAAGGATAGTGAAAGAGCAGGGAAATGCTGAAAAGAGATATCTCAGGAGTAACTGTCCATCTTGAGACCTTTATTTTGTCTCCTTAAAACGAAATATGGCTAAAGAAGTGAAAATGAACTCCAGAAGTTGCTCACGTATGAACTGGAAAGTTGCGGTAGATCTGTCCAAACGCTCGAGTGTTGTGGTCTCTTTACTCTCGTACTCCTGATGAGGAGCATTATAACATGAGCCAGATGACCAGTACTCAATCCTAGATGATCCGTCGGATCCATATGCGTCTTCAGGTGAATCCGTTTCAGATAGCTGAAGTAATCCTGCAGTCTTAGTTTCAACACGAAGGATGGTGTCTTTGCAAAGATCTGACAGTTGCTGTGCCGTTGGAAGCGGCCCACTTTGTTGAAGTATCCGTGCTGGCGTATCCGTGGTTGACAGCATCATGTGGAAAGCATTGATGCCACCCGATCTAATTGAAAACGAGTGTCTGGGCATTGTCCTGTCGCGATTCTTTCGAACCTCGAGTAAGACGAGCCGAAGGTAAAGGGCTGCCTCCTGCCGATAGACATCCTTGTCATCATTCAAACGCGCCCACATATCCTTGTACAGCTCTATTAGATCATTCGGCAAGCTGTTAATCCTTCCCTCCAGGTCTTTCACTTCATCTTTGAGCCTCAGGCCTCGGTTGATGCTATTGACGGCAAGATGAAGCCAGAGGAAGACTCCTTGCGCTTTTGAGACAAGTTCATGTAACAGATTTCCCCTTGTCTTCTTGTCTTGCGTTTCGCCGGGAGGAAATTTGACGTGGTGGCTGGCAAAAGCGTACATATCAGAAAAAGTAAGATCTTGCAATCTGAGCTTCGAAAACTGTTCTAGATGGCCCTTAAGGAGCGGCTCTGGTCGACTTGCTAGGCAGAGTTTGATTTTGTCAATCGCTTGAAATAACTCGACTGTCTCAAGCAGCTTTAGCACACCATCTTTCGGATCGACTTCGTCGAGACCATCGATAAATATGCAGATTGCTTTGTTGTACTGCTTCATCACGTCGAGACAGACTCGTTGCAACTCGTTCAGTGACCAGTCAGAGTCACTTTCCTTTGTGTGTGTACCGTACTCCCCAAGAACCATGTCAAGCATGTCTATGTTACTCTGCAGCAGCTGGTATAATATCGAACACAACATGCCTTTGATATTCTGCTGCATAGACGTTCCAGGGCGCCAAAAGAAGTGAGATATGACAATATTATCACCATTCCAGCGTTTTAGTGCCATTTTTGTTCTGGGCTCGTGTAAGATATACTTGACCAGTGTTGATTTCCCTGCCCCAGGTTTTCCACTGATCCAGTATATTTTGCTTTCGGATCCTAGCCAATTAACAAGATTATCCCACTTGTCGCGATGATATGCCTTGAAAACATTAACCGCATTAGCACCATCATCGTCGCTATCATGGTGACTGCTGACACTGTTATCCTGGCCGCTGTCATGATTGCCGACCTGATCGCTAACAGGGTCGGCATCATGATAGCTGTCAAAGATCCAATGATATGTTTTCTCGTGTGACTCGACGATCTGGTTTCGTCGGTCATTCATGCGGCTGAATTTCAAACTTCCAAGAAGGCGACGCCGTTCCCGATCGCTATGGGCAACGAGCTTCATCTCGTTGAGAGTACCCCATATCTTCTGGGTAGAATCAGCTATGGTCGTCTTGAAATAGCTCTGAATCGTATTCTCGGAGTTCCTCAGCTCAGATGTAACGTGACGTTTTATCTCGTTATTCGTATTTGTCGAGACCGTCGTGAGATGCTCCCTCGTGGCTGTGGCCTCTCTGACGGCAAGCTCAGCAGCACTTCTATGGCCTTGTGCTACCAGTTCTTTGAATTGGCGTAGCTTCTCATCGATATTATCTAGGCTGGTGCTTAAGTTGTTGAACCGATTACTAGCATCGAGTCATTCATTAGTATTTAGTCCTTCGAAACCTCTATACCTGGACTCACTAGATCTTGACAAGGAGGCCGGCCTGCATCATTTTCTCTACCTCTCCCAACTGACGCTCCAGTTTGTTAAGTCGTCGTTTGCGCCAAGCTGTTTTCGCCGCCAGCTTAAGAGTACTGGCAAGTTTTCCTTTCGCCGCATCGTCAGACAAGAACTTGACTTCCTCCTGGATTTCCTTATTGATAGTCCGGCATGTCTTCGTGATCTCTAGTAATCGAGCCTGATCCTTTGGCAGGCTCGTTGCTTCCAGCACTTGTAATTGAGACTCCAGCTCGTCAGATATTCCGTCGAGAAACTTCCCCTTAGTACCTAGAACAGGATCATATGACCCGGTCTCGTATATACCCTTGATAAGACCGATAGCATCTCGCCCGAAGCTTATGGTCTGGAAGACGTTGCAAGCAATGCCAAACGCCGCAAGAGCTTCAACCCCGGACATGATGTGACAGGCTCCAGTCGCTCGTCCAAATCTAGGTGAAATCAATACCAAAATAGATCATGCCAGGCTATGACAAAGATTGCCCCGTCAAAGCCTACGGTGGCCGTCAAAAGCCCTATGTGGTTACCATAAATGAGCACGAAGTGGACTAGAGAAAAGTAGTTGACGGTCAGGATGCGCGAGGCTGGGAGATGTTTTGCAGACTGAACCAATCATCAACTGTCACGGTGAACCCCTCCTTCAGCTCTCTCGCCTGACATGACATATAGTAACAAAGGAGAATCATGAGGCCCATGTTAGGCGTATTCGCGGAAAGACACTCGAAACACCGAAGAAGAAAAGTCTGGCTCTTATGTCCATTGTTCACTTGTGAGTATCCCAGCCTACCGATTATTTTTTGTGTGATGTACAAAGCTTCAGTAAGCTGCCCAACCCCAAACCAAGCAATATCTGCCCCATGGCTGTCCTGTTGATGGAAGCAATATATCCTCGACCGAAATGAACCGATACAACAAGCAATACGATTTTCAAATGCGATGGGACCATCCCAATGACTGCGGCTTCAGATCGCCGCCCAAAACTTTAGTAATTCAGCTCACCAGAACCTCCTCCAGAGACCTGGTCAAGGTCCTCGTAACTCTTGAGAGTGCGGCCCTGAATGGCCTCTCGAGGTCCGACGGCTGCTCCGCCGCCGGCGCCATCACCCCAGCGTCCGGCACCTCCACCACCCCGGCCTCGGCCGCCCATCATGCCGTTCGGCATGCCCTCAGCACCCCAGCGCGGTCCATTGCGTCGATCGTAGGGGCCAGCACGGTTATTGAACCGGCCACCAGGTCCGCCCATCGCTCCACCGCGGCGGATGGGTCCTGCGCCGCGATCATCAGCACCCGGTGCGTGCCAGCCAGCAGGATTCTGCATGGCGGCTCCGAACATGTTCGGGAAGCCAGGCATCGGTGGGAAGCCCGGAAGAGCCATCATGTTATTCATGGTGTAACTCTGTAGGTTGAACCCACGAGGGGTGCCACTTGGCGTCTGGCCATTTGCGGGTGGGAAATGTCCATTAGAGTTGGCATCCGTCCTAGAAGGCGCGATATGAGCCGGATCCATGATGTAGGCATTGACAAGCTCAAACTAATGCATCATTAGTGTTGTGGATTGTGAGGAGTGCGATTATAGTCTTACCTCTTCTTTGAGCTTTTCAACCCAGTCCGCATGACGCTTCTCTACATGCTTCTTCCAGAAATGCTCTTCCTTGAACAACTTGGTGCATTCAGGGGCTTTGCACCTCCATTTGTGCTCGTCCTCCTGCTTCACATACTTGAGAAGCTCGTCGTTGAGAGCCTCCTCCACTGGTTTACCGCCTAGCTTGCGGAGGTCGACCGAGTCGGGCTCCAAGATCTGGGCAATTTTCTCTTCAAAGGTTCTGACCCAATTGTAAGCCCGCTGCAGCTGTTGCTCGGTCTTCGAAGATGTGCCGCGGAATTTCCGGTCCGGCTCAGCAGTTTCGCCTTCCTCGAGATCCGTGGTGGACTCGGTGCGCTTCTTGCTGGGGAAAGGCTCCCCTGAGGCGCTGGCACGAGCGACAGCTTTGGCGGAGGAGGATAGAGTGCTCCTGGGGCGACGCAAATGACCACCAGGACACTTGCGTGTCAGCTCATGGATAGAGTCGCTTTCGAAGACGCAGAAGAAACAGAAGTTGAAGACGCGGCGAAGGTACTCGATCAAAAGATCGAGTTGCTTCTTTTTGACAAGGAGCTCCTCATCATCCACTTCGTCGTCTACCATTCCTTCGTCTTCATCGTCCTCGTCGTCTTCCATTGGTTCGGGTTCTTCGCCTTCATCCATAGCTTCATCAAGATTGATCACACGCTCCTTCTTAGACTTCTTCGGCGCAGCGGCAGTGACCGGAGGCTGCAGACGACCCGAATTCTTCAAGTCCTCGACGCGTTCCTCCACCTTAAGGGTTGCGTTGAAGTCTGAGCCGAAATCCTCCTCGAATTTATTAACCAGCTTCTGCACCAAGTTGAGATCTTTATCAATACGCTCTGGAGCAGAGAATAAATCCCACAGAGCCTTCTTGCGGGGATTTGACGGAGGGTTGTGGACGCCGACGTGGCAAACGAAGTCCCCACGCACCTCATCCTTGACAGTCTTACTATTAATAGCTTCGAGAGCCTTCTCAGCTGTGGAGACAGGGACGGGCGACTTTATCGTCACATCACCATCGTCATCCTCCTTGCCATCTGAGCGATCTACGATGGCAGCAGTTTCGGCGGCTGGATGTAGCATGATCCATCCGATCCGGTGAAATCTCTTGCTTGGGTTGGGGTCACTGAGGGAGAGCCACTTGAAGCCGCCCTCCTCCTCACCTAGATGCTCTTTACAAAAGGCCTCTAGGTTCTGACGGCTCACACTAGGAGCAATCGTCTTAATGAGGAGTGTGGGCTGGAAAAGATTCTCGTCTCGAATATCAGCACTATTGGCCGGAACCAGATCTCCAACGCCGAGCACCTCATTGGCTGCCGTCGCCTCGCCCTCTTCCTTTTCGACGACGCCACCCGCCCCATTGCTCTCGCTCTTAGGGATGCCCTCGAGGGTAAAGTCATCGAAAGTGCCAGCCTCAAGATCTTGCTCCCATTGGGTATAACCCCCTCGACGGAACTCATTGAGTTGCCTCTTCAAGGGATCTCGGATCTCGGGGACATATCGCTCACGGAACCATTGTTCATCTTTATGCTGCTGAACGAATGTCTTGGCCATCTTTGCTTGTAAATCTTCTTTGTATGCATCGTAGGCAACCTGAATCTTGGCCTTCTCCTTGTCACGATCTTCCTGTGACAATGGCCCGCGAGGTCGCTCCTCTCGGCGTCGTCCTGACTTCTGACGCTCCTTCTCCTCCTTTATCTTCTCGTTGGCCCTCCACCATTCGCCAAAATATGAGAAGCCAACCTGATAGGGAAGCTTGATAGGGTCAGGTACTGGATTGGTCAATGGCTGCTGTGGAGTGGCAGCTTCCTGACCGGGAACATAGCGATCAATGTTTGCGGGGGGCGAACCAACGCGGCGTCGATCCTCCCGATCGCGAGGAGTAGCGTATTCGTCCCTGACACGTCTTGGTTCGTACCTATCGACTTGAGGGGACCTCGAACGATTGGACCGGCGTCGATCGTAACCTACATGTGTTGTTTAGTATGAAGACAGTCTAGTGACACAGACATCATCGAAGGATAAATGTTGAGCCAGGGCGAATGAAAACATGCCAACTACAGTCCTCGGAGGAACTTGTAGGTCACGTAAGGAAGTACAAGAGAATGTGCAACGCACCAGGAGATCTGCCACGATAGAAAGTATCAGCTCTATCCTCCTTGCCTCTCGACTCATCCCGCCCATTCCAAGCCCGATCGGTGGGAGAACGAGCCGAATCTCTGTATGAATAGGAATCCATCGCTCTTGTCTAAGCCACGAGTGTTGGCATCTGTCGTTGAATGAAGTCGTTGTGGGAGGTCAGAATGGAGGTAATGTAACGGCGTGTCGCGCCTCTCGTTGCTTGCTTAGGTTACACCGGAAGCTTGGTGTTCAAAACGAGGGAAAGAAAGCCTGTTGTTTGGCGACATGATTGCCGTTAGAGAAAACATTCTTTGATAGATTAAGGGCGGGCTGGAAAGAGAAGTAAAGCGTGGAGCAGGAGCAAGAAGATAACAAGGCAATTGTCAAATAGGACGTAGGTGCAGCAAGCCTTTGCTTGTAGCAAACGAACAACAAGAAGAATAGAGGAGAGAAGTGATCAAGATTGATTGTATGGGAATCTTTCTCTTTTCTCGAGCGGAGGGGATGGAGTTTGAATATAGGGACAAGAGTACAGATACGACAACGTGCTGGAGCTGAGGGAGGGAGAAGGGGGAAAGGGCGTCTCAACAAAGACACAGAAGGGGTCGGACTTAATGGAAAAGGTGAACGAACAATAATTGAGCTGAGGTAAGAGAGGAAAAAAAAGATGGTGATGGCGACGCCAGACCTCAGAGTCAATCAGGAGTGGCGATCTGCTGCGTGGGAGATCTTCCTTTGTCTGCGTCTGCGTGAGGTGAAACGGGAGGCTGGATGAAGTCGCCCAGCGGCGCGCGAAAGTAGAGTAAGATGGACGGAGGATGGAGAGAGGTCGGCAAAGTGGCCGAAGCGCTAGCAGGGATTATGTAAGCTGGGCACGAAAGTCACTGCCAATCGTGGACTGTGCGATTTAAGCATAAGGACCACCAGCCAGGTACCTACCTTGCTTGGTTGCTTGCTTACTGTGGTACTTTTGCTTGCCTGAGGTAGGGCGTACTATGTAAGCTCGCGCCCCAGAAGCACTCCAGCTTTAGGTACCTGCTTCGGCTACTGGGCAATGCCTTGGAAGCTGGCTCGGGAACTGGGGAAATATCCACACAAGCATGCAATGGACGTTATTTGAACCCCAACATGGGCACAGCAACTTAATCCTCTGTATCGCTGGCATGTCATCCTGCTCAGGAACTCTTGGGCAGGTGTGTAGATATTCTAGGTGCTGACATCTAATCATTTCCAATACATCCAGGTATGTGCTGCTTGCCACCAAGTCCCCAGCAGGCTATTAAATCACAGCGGTATGAGTGCCAGCAAGGTAAGCTGGGCATGCCATTCCAAGGGAGCCTGGAATTGCTGAAGAAGAACAGAGCGATTGTGTGTTGGCGAATGGCAGTAATGGCGCAGCAGCTTTGACGCATCAGGGTACGTGGGCCATATGATCAGATCAGATCATACTCAAGGCGACGGGACCTCGGGAAGCCAAGTGAGGGGGACGAACTTTAGATATGAAACAGCAGACCTGGCATGACCTTACCTGTCTATGTGAATGAATGCTCTCTCCTTTTCCTCTAAATCATCAGCTCAATTGAAAGTCTGGAGTGTGTGATCTCCAGTATCGTTTTCGCAAATTGAAGATATTCTTAGAGTTTGGGTAGTTCATTCGAGGTAAGGTGCCTTGTCTCTTAGACTGGAGCTCTGGAATGTCGTCATAGCTTTGGCGGAGCTCCAACCACAGACTCAACCCAATCCACCACGTAGCATCAGCAAAGACCTCGGGAAAACATTGACATAGTCCCCTTTTCTTCTCTTGCTGACCTCTGTCTGTCTTGGTATAGACAACAAAGTATTGTCAAACGCCAAAATGACAACCTACATACCGGCTCTGACGATCCCCTACTCCGTCTTCGCCAACCCGGCGGCGTCGATCCTCCTGCCCGTCGCTCTCGGCACCGCCGTGGGCTACAGCACTCGGCGTAAGCTCCCTGACCCGGAGTCACACAGTTCTCGATGAACGAACTCGCTAACGCACTCAACAGCGAGCGAGACGCAGAAGACGTACCTGACCATCAAGCAGCCGCCCTACCGGCCGCCGCCCAAGGTCTTCGGCCCCGTGTGGACCGCTCTGTACGGACTGATGGGCTACGCCGCCTACCGCGCCGTGACCAACGGCACCTCGCCGCTCGCCTCGATCGAGTCCATCCGCCGCGCCAAGCACGGCGCCACCCTCTACACCATCCAGCTCGGCCTGAACCTGATCTGGATGCCGCTCTTCTTTACTGCTAAGCGACCCATCGAGGCCACCGCCGACGTCGTCGCCCTGCTCGGCATCAACAGCTACCTGACCTACCTCTGGGGCTCCGTCGACGCCGTCGCCGGCTGGTGCCTCGCCCCCTACCTCGGCTGGCTGGGCTTCGCCACCTACCTGTCCGCTGGCGCGGGCTACCTGAACAACTGGAACTTTGAGGACAAGGAGGTCAAGTCTGCTTAAGCTAGAGGATGATCATGTGGCGGTCGTGAAGAGCTAGGGCTTGTGGGCACGAACACTGGAGCTGATGGAGGCTCGTGTCACTGGGCTTTTGTTGCATGTTGTTGGTTATACGCAGGAGGCAATCCCCTCTTTGATTTTCCCGAGTACAGTATTCTAGATATCTATAATTTTTTTGGTTCACGACTGCAAAGTCCATCCCGTAGAGCGCCGTCTATATCGCCTGACGACCATTGTGATCTATGCTGATATTATGTGGTTCCGTGAACGCCAATGTCTCATCAATCATATAAAGCCCCGAATCATGTATGGTGTACGTTTGGCACCAGGGGCTCGTCCTTTTTACTTAGATCGCTTATGAAAGAGGGACATATTTCTTGAGTCCGTCAAATACCATGAAGATGAACGCGGAGCTTGGAGCTGACCGCAGACAGGTGATGCCGCAGCCCCGGTAGAAACCCCTCACGCCGGCCTGCTGCCAGAGTGCCTTGCCTTCACTGACAAAGGTACGCTTCACCGCCGTGCCTCCAATCGGCGTCGTCTGCATGCGTGACTTGATCGTATCGGCGGGGAAGAAGAGGAAGTTGTATGAAACGCCGGCGGAGGCGCCGGCCAGAGCTTGCTGCCACAACGGCAAGGGGTTGGCGACTATCTCGTCAACCTCGACCTGCGACTTGGCCTTTTTAATGTTCCAGTCTCGCAAGAGCTTCGTCGTAGTCTCCTTGGAGCCGAACCAAGCCGCACAGCCTCCCGCTTCTCTGATCAATGTGCCCAGCTGTCCGTGCCAGAAGCCCATGATGCCCTCGTGGCGGAATATATCTCGAATGACCGGCAGCGGCCGCAAAGGCGCCTTCACGACGCCGGCCTCGGTCTCCGGGACTTGGATCTTGCATTTGACTAGCTCGATCGGTGTGAGGACAAATGACGTGAAGACACCGGAGAATGCTCCGGTGAAGTAAAGTGCCGAGAGTGGCAGTGGCTCATCCGGCGCACAGAAGCCGGTCTTGTATATAAAATCTCGCCCGATTCGCTCGAAGAAGAACAAGCTGCTTGTTTCGGCAGCCGCACCGACGAGTGGTGCGCTAATGCCCCGGTATAGTCCTAGTACCCCATCTGCACGTATCGACTGACGAAAGCAGTCCAAGGGGCCGTTGTATCGTAGCGGGAGGTGGTCTGGCTGTGACTGTAGCCGGACCTTCACCGTGTCGAATGGGTATTCGATATACTTGCCGACAATACCGGCAACCTGAAGTACTTGTTAGACGGCTCGGGACTCTCCACAATGCCCTTGACTTACCGAGCCATATAAGATGTCCTCAATAGACTCCATGATAGCAGTCCGGGCCGGGATATCGAGGGGTGTAGCGATGGGTGCCGAGGCTGGAGCTTCGACCTTGACGTGGGAAGCCGACGCCATATTGTGAGGATACGGAAGAGTTATAAGCACAAGGCCCTTATAAAGCGAGAAGAAGTCCGTTTCTCGTGAAGAAAGTTTGGATCAATATTCCCTGCAGTGAGTTAGTGACATCGCATCTACCAACGACGCCAACACATTCGTGACACAGGTGAATAAGAGAATGCTGGCAGCTCCCATAGGACCGGATGGAAAGGTCCTTGACCCCGAGCTGGCATATGGGATGCTAGAGTAACTATGAAAGGTGAAGAGAAGTCCCGTACCAGGATCCTATTGGGAAAGTAGCTGCAGACAGATGTTTGCGTCTTCTGTATAAGGCAGTGGGCAACCAATAGGACTGATGTTAGTCCCGTCACCGCTCCTCGTCGAGGGGTCGTCCTCCAAAATGGCGGCGTGGAGCGGAGCAGAACTGGTGTCGGAGGAGCATGTCGCAAGAATGGGAAAGGTCCCAACAGACTGGGCAAGGGACACAGGGGCAAGATGCGCGATGCCGCAAGTTAAATCAATTTCATTCACCGTCTCATGGGAGGCGGGCGTACGTGGTGGAGTGGATTGCGCATCTACTTTCACCAAGCCCGTGGTAAGCTTTGCCGTGTTGGAATTGGGTAAAAAAATGAATTTTCGACCGGTTTGCGGCGCCAATCTTCAGGGAGCCAGGGGCCTCCTCCTCTATCTTAGCGCGGGGTTACAGCAATGGAGGGGCACCTGGGGCCTGAATGGTACTGCCCAGCTAATAACTTGACCCGGATGGCCCCGAGGTAACCTTGCCATGCTCCATCTCAGGGACGAATAGGGTGAGGCAATTCATACAGTCTTCCTCTCAGGCCCCAGATCGGTCGAGAATCGGAAGGTGGTTTCAGGATTTAGCACCATCTGATAAGATAATTTCATGCAAGATGATCTTCTCTCGTGGAGATTACTGCGGCATTGGCATTTCCTTTGGGGCTAGCCCTAGTATTCTAGCTCTGATGTGCTCATGTAGCCGAGGCTCATCTTCTTCATTCTGGGTATAGGTTGATAGGTAAGCTACCTACATGATGCTGTCGTACAGATGCCTGGTTCCATTGGATCACCACTGACCGCCGCCGCCTTTGCCGAATGAGCCGGGGGCACTGACATCTTCAACCTTCCTGCCCTTCACCGGCTTTTGCTGTGCTGCTGGGTGTCTTCTCAGCTCGTCAGGCACCTTGGAGATTGATGACTTCTGGATCATCTGCTTCAGATCATAGAGCACATCTTCATCTTCGTTGCCAAGGAATGTGATGGCAACACCACTCTTGCCAGCACGACCAGTACGACCGACACGATGTGTATATGACTCGATATTCGTAGCCATGTTGAAGTTGATGACAAGCGAGACGTCGGGAACATCAATACCACGTCCAGCCAAGTCGGTAGCCACCAAGATGTCCGTCTGGTGATTTCGAAGTGATGCCAGAGCCGCCTCTCTTTGCTCTTGAGTCTTGCTGCCATGGAGTGTGACGGCAGAATAACCAAGATGCTTGATATCCCTCGCCACCGTGTCGCAATTCCGCTTGATATTGACGAAGACGATAATGGGCGGCTGGAATTGTCCCGAATTGAGAATCTCGCCCAGCCTCTTCTTTCGCTTGTCCTCGCCACCAACGAATTCAACACGCTGCTCCACAGTTTCGACAGCCTCGCCAGCGTTACCGATAGTCACGATGGCTGGGCGTCGAAGGTACTTCTTCGCTATCTTCTCCACTGCCGTAGGCATGGTGGCCGTGTACATCATCGTCTGTCTGTACCTGTCCTTGCCTCCAATGTATTTGCTCATGAGTTGTGTATTTTCGGCCTCTTCCGTGTCTGGCTTCTCATTTCCAACCGGAAGAGCATCAAGAATTTTGTTGAGAGACTCTTCGAAGCCCAAGTCAATCATACGATCAGCCTCGTCCATGACAATGTAGCAACACTGGGAAAGGACGAGCAAGCGCCTTTCAATCGTATCAACCAAACGTCCTGGGGTGGCAACGATGATCTCGGCACCGTTTCTGAGGTTGAAAGCTTGTTCCTCAAGTGAGTGACCACCAACGATACTGACACAAGTAAAGCCCAAAGGTGTTGCAAACTTCTTTGCTTCTGATTCGATTTGCTGCGCCAGTTCACGAGTTGGGGCTAAAATCAGAGCGTAAGGTCCGTCCGCCTTTGTATACTCGTCGAGGGGCGGCAATCCAGAGATGTAGACCAGTAGAGGAAGCAGGAAAGCTGCAGTCTTTCCCGAACCAGTCACAGCCACACCAATGAGATCACGAGCTTGAAGTGCTATCGGAATCGCAGCTCTCTGAATAGGTGTCGGCTCAGTATATCCGACTTGATCCACAACCTCGAGAAGTCGGCGCGGTAGGCCAGACTCCTTCCAGCTCCGCATGGGATTTGGAATCGCGCCGCCCTTGGTCGCTATACCAAAGTCTTCTTTGAAGATGCGCCAGTCTCTCTCGCGCATCTCGTCGAGTTTCTTCTCAGACCAATGCTTGCCAAGCCCGTTTCGGGTTGCCCTTTCTCGGCCGCGACGCCACTGCTCAAGATACTCTCTTGCCCGTTCCCTGCCGTGCTCTGGATCGGCATCTTCCAGTTGACGGGCGAACTTCTTTGCGGATTCCTCCGCAACGTCTTCGCCAAAGCCGCCCAGTTTTCCTGCCCAGAATGACGTGGTCTGTTCTGCGTAAATAGGATTTTGGTCTTGACTGGTGTCCTCCTCTGCGTCCCACTCGAAATTGAACTTCTTCTCCGTAGTGCGCTTCCTCTTTTTCTTAGCAGAGAATGTGCTTTGATTCATCTCCGGGCCCATATATCTGGCTCGAATAAGAGAAGTTTCGTCTTGCTCCGCTAGCCTCTTGCTGCCCTTCGTAGAGACGGCAGGTTTTGGTGGTTCGCTACGGCTATTTCCGTTCTCCTGTCCCCTATCTTGGTGACCGTTCTGATCGCGCATGGCTTTCGGCCCTGTTGGAATAGAGTAGTCTCGCGACTTGTCTGTCTTGCCATTTGTATAGCTATCGCGATTTCCGTTTCGGTACGATGGAGCCTTATCCAGTGGAGCCTGCTGTTTCTGCCGTTGTTTCTCCTCTTCTTTCTCCTTCTCTTCTTGCGCTTTCTTGGCAGCAAGGGCCTCTCGCTGGGCTTTGGTCATGAACCGAGGCTTTGCGGCTGCGGCATCTGCCTCTTTCTTCTTCCGTAGGATCTCCTCGATGTCCAGCGGCTGGCGCCGAACAGTACCGTTGCCGTTCATGATCGATAGCTTTCCGACGAGAAGAAATGCAGTGGCGATGTGGAATGGGGCCCAAGTATGACTGTCGCAGATTGAAATATTTGGAGGGGCGAGGTTGAACGTCTACTCCTCCGCCGGCGTAATAAATGTTAGTTCAGCAAGGGTATCACTACCTAGGTTCCTCCTCAACAAGGGGTTACGACCTTCGTAAAAGCTAAAGACCTATAGTAACAAACAGAATATTGAAAAGCTTGATAAGTGTTATGCCTCTTAATATTGAGTAGATTCACTTCTAGAAATTAACGTTTATCACCTAGGCAGAGGAGTACAAGGCTGAAAGATAACTCCTCTAGGGGGACGGCTGCTGGATTTTGGCGTCAACACACACCAATCATGCCTGGAAGCCGCGCCAGATCCACTTTATTTTTACCTATTGATCCGTGCCCCCAATCGCCTGAAAGATTCGCCCTGGTCCGTCAAGTGAATTGGGAATCCTGACATTCGTACATCACCCAACGCCGAGCAACCGGCGATATCTTCAGTTTGACGAGGAGGAGATCCTCCCACAGATCCTGCACCATGGCGACCACTTCGCAGTACATTCAATTGGCAAAGGCACTGCCGCCACGCCTTCAGCGGTTTTTCGCGAGATACCCCCCGGCTTCCATCATCAACCCAGCTGCCTCTGGAGAGCTACCTCAGACCGCCTACCAAATAGAAGCACCGAATCCTTTCCTCGCGACGAAGCACCCTGTTACTGGAAAATGGCACGATCCCAAATTCTCGCTGAGGAGGCAGGCAGAGCTGGTGAAGCTGGCTAGGGAACACGGCGTTGAGGAGCTGCTCCCATACACACCCAAGAAGACCGAGGAGCGGATACGGCACCGTGTCGAACACGGTCTGAGAGTTAAGGGAACTGGTATTGGCCAACAGGTCAAGGGCCACGCCCACGAGAGACACTTGGTTGGGAAGTATGTTCTGCTGTTGTGCTTGTTAGGAGAGCAACTCTTACTGACTTTCGTGTTTAGGATGGAGAAGAGGAGACAGGCCATGCTCAACATGCCCAAACTTATTAGGGAATGGAAAGCAGTAAGTCAAATCGCCAAATTTTTTCCCCCTGGAACAGTCAACTAATCGCAAGTTCAGGTTGGAAAGAAGAATTGGACCAGGTTCCCCAGGTAAAGCGGCTAATGTTCTGGCACTTGCCTGGCGATCCTCGATGTATATACAAAATGTAACACCAATGTATACCCACGGCCTAGGGAAATCTTCTCGTCTCGTTCCATCTTGATTCTATTTTCCCTTCCAATATTGTCAGTTGTCAAGCTCCCTGTTCCACGACCCAGGTATTTCTCGATTCCCCAGGTAGGCAAGGTAGGGTTCTCTTCTCATGTTCACGCAGATCGAAGGTATTTCTCTCGACACATGATGTGGCCATTATCTCAGTCTTTGCCGTATGCATTCTTGTGTCTCTATCATCAGCCTTGTCTACTTTCTTGAGATCTATCTGGCATTGCTTACATCTCTTCACATGGCCGAAAGCTCGGCACGTGACCGTACATTTTCCTTATCAGTGACATACAAAATTGAGTGACTCCAGCTTATCGCAGCAAGAGGTCGGCATATCAGAAAAAGTGTTGACCTCACACCTGCAACCCAACCCCGAGTCCGGAGGGGTAGAAAGACAGTCGTCTTTTACCCATCTGGATCTCCGGTTCTTGATCTTTTCAGAAAAAAATTGTAAAAAAAATGGCCGAGCCAACCCACTACGAGGTGCTAGGCATCCCGCGGTCCTACCTGGAGGATGACCGGGACCTCGCCCCCATCATCAAGACGGCTTACCACCGGAGCCTGCTCCGGAATCACCCCGACAAGGCCTTCAACGTGCAGCCGGGCGAGCCGCGCGTCATCGGCACAGCGCAGAACAGCACAAACTTCACCATCGACCAGATCAGCGAGGCGTACGCCGTGCTGTCGGACGTCAAGCGGCGCGCCGACTATGACAAGGCGCTCAAGACGGCGCGCAACGGCCAGGACCAGCCTGGTAGCGCCGGTAGCGGCAGCGGCTTCCAGACGGGCATCGAGAACGTCGACCTCGACGATCTGCAGCTCGACGAGGCGCAGAACCGTTGGTATCGCAGCTGTCGGTGCGGCAATGAGCGCGGCTTCTCGCTTGGCGAGAGCGACCTGGAGGAGGCTGGCGACTTCGGCGAGCTTATCGTCGGGTGCCAAGACTGTAGCCTCTGGCTTCGGGTACACTTTGCCGTTGTGGTCGACGAACACTCTGCTGCAGCACAGGTACCAGGCTGAGTAGAACATCCGGGTTCAAGCTTCACGCACAATGTTGACCAGGTTCGCTATGCGGCGTTTGGTCTCTTCGGCGCGCTCTCATGGAAGGGGACCTGGGGAGGTCTCACTTTGAGAGATGGAGACAGGACAGGAGTATTATGCTACCGCTGAGGTTCCAAGGCATAGCTGGTGATAAGCACACACGCGGTATACCCTCTCCACGAAGGCGCATACCATTAGGCTGGTCGCCCAATCAGGGGCAAGCTATAATCTATAATCACATGGGGGTCAGAGCATGGGTACACATGTAAGGCTCGAGGAGCTTCTCAAATCACGAAGATAAAGTGAGCTTTATTGTCCAGACGAATCTTAACCCCTTGCGCATTAGAGTCTAAATGAAAAGCAATCTGAATGTGCTAGCCTCCAAGCTGCTCTCATTAGCCCTGTTGCAGGATCTGAGATCGCCTAAGTCTTGTGTATTTGCGTAAAACCATGCAGAGTCTTTAGAGTTCTCCGATCCGCACTCCATAGACACCAGTTCCTCCGGGGGATCAACCAATGTAAACCGGTCACGACACAAGAAATTAAGCATTTTACTCGGTAGGCTTGGGTGCCTCCGCAGCCTCCTCAGTCTTCTCCTCCGCCGCCGGAGCATCAGCCTGACCCGACGCGGCGGGTGCCTCGGCCTCAGAAGAGGTCCAGAGGGTCTGAAAGCAAAGTCAGTGGTGTCCCTTGGCCCTTGCAAATGGTCATGTCTTACCAGGTTGTCGCGGAGCAGTTGCATGATGAGGGTGGAGTCCTTGTAGCTCTCCTCGCTCAGGGTATCAAGCTCTGTGAAATTCGTGTCAGAGATTGCAAACTCTACATGTTCAGATCAACTCACCAGCAATGGCATCATCAAAGGCTTGCTTGGCGAGGTGGCAAGCCTGGTCAGGGGCGTTCAAGATCTCGTAGTAGAAGACAGAGAAGTTGAGAGCGAGACCCAGGCGGATTGGGTGAGTAGGAGGCAGCTCGGTCTGGGCAACCTCGGTGGCAGCCTTGTAAGCCTCAAGAGACTTGTCTGCGGAATCCTTGCGCTTGTCGCCAACAGCGAACTCAGCGAGGTATCGGTGGTAGTCACCCTTCCTGATCGGGTATTAGCACCAAATTCAGGCATTTTCGCTTTCATGGGATGACAAACATCTTGTGATAGAAGACCTTGGACTCGCCGCTCTTGGCCGAGGGGATCAGGTGCTTGTCTAGGACGCTGAGGATGTCCTCGCAGATCTTAGCCAGCTCACCCTCGATCTTCTGGCGGTACTCCTTGATCAGTCCGACCTGAGTGGAGTTGCCCTTCGACTCCTCCTTCTGCTCGATGGAGGTCACGATTCTCCAGGACGCACGACGGGCACCGATGACGTTCTTGTAGGCAACAGAGAGCAGGTTTCGCTCCTCGACAGTCAGATCGCGGTCCTCGGAGGCGACAATCTTCATGTTGTCCACCATCTCTGCAAAATCGGAATTAGCGCCGCTCTCATCGGATCCAACATCAGTCTCGATTGTACATACCCTCGTAGCGTTCAGCCTGCTCGGCGAGCTTGGCCAGATACACGGCGTCTTCGTGACCCATTTTGTTGACTTCGGTTGTCTGGGATAGTGCAACGTCAGCCTGATGAAAATTCTTGACCGTTCTTTGAAATGAGCAGAAATGATTTGTGATTGGCAATTATGAGAGGTCGACCTGAGCCCCAGGAGCCGATGAAATTGGCGCATCGACCAGCGCCGCCTCCCGAAGGCTGTGGTGACGTCCCCGAACGCGCCTCGCTGACTTCATGACCTAAAAGGAGGCTCCCCGCTTCTCAGTGGGGTTCGCGCCAGAGGCCGAGCCGCGAGCGACAGCTTGAAGCAGCATCGAATCGAGGGCCGAGAGGCATCCGGCGACGATTGGGACGGTCCTGGGGATTCAGGAGCGATGTAGTGGTGCGATTTTGTGTGAAAGAGGGGGCATGCGATGACGATAGAGTGCCGGGCAACCAGGCGTTTTGCGCTGTTGAGGGCAAGGCGGGGGACGAGGCGGTGGATAGGGCGGTGTTTGCTTTGGCAAGGTAACGGTCACGACTCACCTGTTTGAGATGTGGAAAATGTGGTGGTGATGAAAATGGGGAATTTGGCAGCAGGACCAAGATTGGCAGTTGGGAGAGATGAGAATGGCGATGCGAATGGGAAGTGGGTTTTTGTGGTTGAGGTTGAAGTTGGCAAGAGAGTGACGGAGTTGGGGTGCAGAGAGCCCACACCGTCAATTAAAGCGGGCGGGAGGGAGAGAGAGAAAGGGCCTGGCTTTCTTTGGCTGGGACTGAGCGCGGCACTGTCCTGTGCTGTCCTGTGCTGCTAGGCTTGGGCTGGGCTGGCTGGCCCCTCCCACCTATTCACTGTCCGTTGAGTTATTGTTATTTATTTATTTGACCATTTATTCGCGTGAAGATGACACCAAACCTAAATCCACTAGCTTGTTCAGGCAGCAGCTGGCCTTCCCTTTGAGGGACAGCGCCTCTGTTTCACGCACTTGCAGCACTGCCACAGATCGTCCTTTTTTCCCATTTAATTTGAGGACAACGTCATTCCCCAACCCGAAAAACATATGACACCCTGTCGTCCACAGCAAGGCCCTCCCAGTCTCAGCTCCCAGGACAACCAGCGCCAGCGTGACCCCCTGGTGATGTGCTTTGCAGGCGTGATGTGTAGCCTGTGTTGCTGGTCACGCCTGCCGAAGTTTCTTTTTCTTTCCTTTCTGGCGCCTGCCCTTTTGAAACTTGGTACAGTAGTAGTGCAACCTCCCGTCCGTTTGCTGGCCTCCGTTAAGAACCTGATACAAGGCTTACGTTACGGACCCGATACTGAGGAGCTAAGGTCCTCCGCCTGGGAGGTAATTACATTGAGTCTCATTAGGGGCAGGAGCAAGGCTGCCCAGTGTTTCCAATTACTGTGTGTCCCAGCGCTTGATAGGGCGGTCGCAACCTGGGAAATTCCATGCGGCTCCCTTCAATAAACGGTACTACCTATCTTCCTTGCGGACTGGACGGTGTTTCCCTTTGCCTTCTGGGTCGACGACAGTGGCGCTCTACTCCGTTTCAATCTCGCCGCCTTTCTGTCGGGCTCTCATAAGGCTGTTCGCATTGGGTAGTAAATCAGGCTTTGTTTTTAGCTATATGCCCCGCAGACTGCAGACTGTGACCGATGACTGTGTGCTACCTTGCTATCATCCTAAGATGTCATCCCATCTTTTGAGGTGTACCTAAATGTTGCAATCCAACCTGGATGATAACGCAAGGCAGCTTGATGTGACCAGAGAAAAGCAGCACACTGCATGCAGCCACGACTAACTTGCCGTGGCGATCCTCGTACGGTGCGGTACAAGAACAAACAGCGCCCCGTTTGTGGAGCAGCCTTACGCGCAAACCAAAACTACGTATGGATCGTCTGAGCGATGTCTGCTAGCAGGGCCCAGCAAAGTCTGACTCTCAAACAAAGGCCATTCGCCAATCCATTCCTCCCAGGTTGAGCAGGAGATCTATAGCTTCAAGAAGTCAATATAGACATCATCTAGTGCATCGAGGGAGATCTAGATACATGAGATATCGTAAGGCACACGCATCTGGCCCGTCTTGGATCATGAAACCCAGAAGAGCTCATGCGGGGACCGGGAAATCGGCTTCTCTGATTGGTTCTCGGCTGCAACGATTGAATGGCGGCCTGAGGCTCGTCCGCTTTCTGCCGTCATGCCGATAGGACGATACCCTGGTACCACCACTACTCTCCAGCTTGCAAAGCTTCCCACCACCACCACCGAGAGCCATCATACAGTTGATCACCTCAGACCACGAATTGAGCCACCGTACGTCTCGGTCCCCTTAGGATACAAAAGTCTCCAGATTGTTCCCTCCCCAGCTCCTCCTTCGACCCCGGATTGCCACCGGATCTAACCTTTCCCCAGATTTTTCCCTCAAAGCCTCCCGCGTATCCCATACATCCGAAACTAGCAGCAAAAATGCTTCGCCAGTCCTTCCTCAAGAGCAGCAAGCTCACCCGGCCCGCGCTGGCCACCCCCATCCGCACCTTCACCGTCTCAGCTCGCACCATGGCCGAGGGTGACACCGGTGCCCCGCCCAAGACTGGCCAGGCGTGAGTCTCTCCCCGTCCCTGCGAGCCCATGATTTCCCGCAGGCAGCAGACCTCGAGGATTCGAGATATCAAGGATGCAATTGCTAACGCTCTCTTTCCAGCGACGCCTTCCAGAGACGTGAGCGTGCCTCCGAGGACTACGCCATCCGCCAGCGTGAGAAGGAGAAGCTGCTGGAGCTCAAGAAGAAGCTTGCCGAGCAGCAGGCTCACCTGCAACAGCTGTCCGACCACATGTAAGTCCCAATTGCTCCGTCATGCCGGCAACGCAATACGTACGGCCTCTGACACTGACTTCTTTGCAGCGACGAGATCACCAAGAACCAGGGTGGTGAGCACAACTAAGTTGTTGAAGCCAACCCCATGTACACTTCTGGCAGAGATATTAGAGAGGGAGGGAAGGAGAGACGTGGACTATACCGCAAGATCAATGACATACGTGACATTGGATCCCTCGGGACGATCTTGAAATGTAGGCTTAGCATGAGCAAGCGTTTTTCGTGAAGCTCCGTGACATTGCTCTTGTCTTAAGCCTCAAGCACATTTGGGTAGTTGTACATATACATTATGCATCTTTTTGCACCTCCGTGCAATCCGGTTTCCCTGTCTCGAAAGAACAACTCATCTCTATGAATCCTATCCCTGCTTGCCTATGCCTTTGCTTGCCTATGTGATCCTTGCTTCCAGTATTCGTTCTTCTTGTTCTTGTGTACTACAAATTACATCTACACCCCGCTACCTCGGCCACTCTTTTATCGTCGACCCATGTAGGAACGATAGAAGCTTTCTGCCGCATCGGTCTCTGGGCCTCCGTATTGAGTTCCCATGCTGCTGCTTGCCTTCTGAGCCGCAGTCACCTTGGCCTGCAGGGCTGCAGCATTCGTGTCGATCCACTGAAGCTGAGTGAGGTGTCCATTGAGGACACGAACGATTTGGCTCAGCTGATTGGCATCGTTAGTGTGCGTTGTTATATAGTTGCCAGAGAAGCTTACCGGATCATCGGGCTTGTTGCCCTTGCTCAGCGTGGCAGAAATGTCATTGATCTCCTTGATCATCTTGCCCAGGTCCTTGCCCATCTCATCGACACGGTCAGTCAGATTCTCAGCAAGCTTGTATGTGCGCTCGCGCTCCTGGTCTGGCCCGCCAAGCTGCTCACTAGATCCAACCTGGCGAGTGAAGAGGTCATTGACTTGAGCCTCGTAGGTATCGAGCCAGCTCTCCAGCTCTTGTTGGTTGCTCTCCACCTGCTGGAGCTGGCGTTCGATCTCGTTACTAGCTCGCTCTGCCTCGTATGTGTTAAGGTAGAGCTTTTGGATCTTCTCGCCATTCTCAACTAGGAGGCGGTCCCAGGCAGAGATCTGGGTCGCTTGGTCTTTGAACTCCTTCTGGTACTTAGAAAGATCTGTGGCCCATCGAGTAATGATCTCGTCCATGGTCTTGTTCTTGAGTCTTGGAAGCTGGGATGGGGGCCCCGTAGTTGACGCTGACAGGTTGGCAGCAGAAGTTGCCCCATTTTGGGCAGTTGAAGTTGGTGCTGGTGTTGGTGCCTTGCCCAAAATACTGCTGCCAGCAGTCGTAGTAGACGGAGCTGTACCGGACGATGCAGTCGTCGTCGCCGGCGCAGTGCTTGTTGTAGTAGCAGACGGGGCGGAAGTTGCGGAGAGACTGGGAAACAAGCCAGGTGCACTGGTGCCAGATGCAGCAACGGGAGCCGTGGTACTTGGTGTGCCACTGCTAAACAGAGACTTCGTCTGCGTGGGAGCCGCGGCGGCGGTAGTCGAGGGTGTAGTAGATCCAAGCCCGCCAAAGAGCGCCGGCTTCGACGTCGCTTGAGGGCCCGCTGACTGGGCGGTCGACCCTCCGCCGAATATACTTGGAGTGGAAGATGTTGCAGGAGCCGGGGCCGGAGCATTGCTTGCCGGCGTTGTTGTTGCGGGTTTAGCACCAAATAGATTGCTTGCAGGTGTTGAAGATGTCTGGGACGGTTGTGAGGCCGGAGTACTACCACCTCCAAAGAGATTGCTGGAAGTACTGGCAGCGGGTTTGGAGAATAGGCTGGTCGACCCGGTAGACGCACCACCGAATAAGTTCGATGTTTGCCCAATCGATGGAGTCGAGCCTCCTGCACCGCCGCCAAATAAGTTGCTAGAAGCAGCCGTGGAGGGTTGTGTCGTTGCGGGTGCTGCGCTGGAAGTTGTCGGCTTGGCAGTTGATCCAAAAAAGGATGGAGTGGCTGGTTTAGAATCCCCTTGAGCGGGCTGCTGGGAGGTTGCTGATCCAAAGAGGTTTGGGGTGGGCTTCGCAGAGTCCGCCGGAGGTGCACCAGCTGGTGTTGTCGAGCCTAAGCCGCCAAACAACGGCTTGGCAGGAGTTGCTTGAGCAGATGTATTTGCACTGGTGCCAGTAGAAGATGGAAACAAAGATTTCCCCGCGTTCGCAAAGAGGCCAGCCGCAGGCGCAGGAGCCGTAGAGCTGGTGCTGGGTGCTTGAGTCGTATTACTGCCTCCGAAAAGACCACCTCCAGTCGATGATGCACCACCAGCTGTGGATGATGCAGTATTGGAGCCACCAAATATTCCTCCACTTGGTGTGCTCCCTGGAGCTGTCGCCGGAGTGCTTGAGTTGCTTCCAAATAGGCCTCCAGCGGCAGGTGTCTTGTTCGCGCCGCCAAATAGATTGCTCCCTGAGCTGCCACCAGCTGACTGCCCACCAAACAAGGAGCTTCCCGTCGCAGGCGCACTTGAGCTACTCGTGGCAGCGCCTCCAAAAAGGTTCGGTTTCTGTGCTCCGCTGTTCGAAGCTGCGTTCCCGAACAGGCCAGCACCGCTAGATTGACCTGAGGTCGAATTGCCAAAGGAGAATGACGGAGTGCCCGTTGCTTGTCCAAACACGCTTGATCCGGGAGCAGAAGAGGTGGCGGTTGTCGACGGGGCAGAGGCGCCTGCGCTGGATGCGGGCGCCCCAAAGCTGAAGCTTGGCGTAGACATCGTGAGAAGGTGGCAAGTATGTGATGGATTGCAAGAGTTGATCGTGACGCTTCAGAGTGAAAAGGTTACGGGTGGATGACCCTAGGACGTCTTTATTCGCGGGCGGAGATCAGGAACGGCTCATGACCATTACTAGATCCTTCTGCCTTCGACAGGCACAGTCGGTCGGGAAGGAGAGGAAGAGGTGATTGCTGATGCGGAAAAGATGTTGTTTGAGTTCCTTGTGGACGTTTGATGCTGCACGCTAGGAGCTATCAAGGGTGTCCCGTTCAGCGTTGGCTGGGAAGCTTTTTTCGCGAATTGGAAGAGCTGTTGCGCGCCTAGCACAAAGCGCGCCACTGCCCAAAGAACGGGGTGTTCCTTAGGCGCACACCTTCCCTTGATCCCACTCCCACACCGTCGGTCAACCCTAACCCTCGACCACTGGAGGAGCATCGGTCAATCCCAAGTGACTATCCCCTAAAGTAATCACATCAAGGTCGAAGACAATCCTCATCTTGAGCTCTGTCAGAGCAATTGCTGCCTACCTGGGTTGGACTTTACTATAAAAGACATCGTTGATTGAACTCGTGACCTAGTTGCAACTTCTGGTGTTATAACCTATCAGTCAGCACTGTCTGTCAGGCACCTAATTAGTCAACAAAGCGTTGCGTAAGTTGTCTACGCAACGTGATGATTGTGTGGCAGAAGCAACCGTGATCCCCTAATCACCATACTCAAACATCAAAGTTCCTGCTGCCCCTTTTTCAATTTCCAACTAACATCTTATATAAAAATACTTCGAACATAGTTAAGGGTTGTTATTTCACGATATAGCGTTTACATTCCGTCGTGTTCTCTAGAAGTGGCCATGAAGCCCACATTGGGCAATACCTGAGGACTTCGTAACCCCGCCATTACCTCAGGAACTGCGATACAAAGTGCTCCAGCAAACACAATTCAAGGAGGGAGCCGGGTATTTCCCTTCGTATCTCTCTGCATCTTGATTTGACACGTAACAACTTTTGCATTGTGGGCAATCTATAGTTTTGTCTCGCGCTCAGCTCTGATGGCTCACAACGGTTGTACAACAACGACAGTTGCAGACTACGTTGCTAAGATCAATGCAATCCTACAAAATAGTGTTGCGGACGGAGTACCCGGCATCTGCGCTGCGATTTCCTCAGCTCGTGGGCAATGGGCGTTCGCAGCCGGCGTCTCAGACTTAGAGAACCTCGAACCAATCCAAAAGACTCATCTATTCGGCATCGGCAGCATCTCCAAAGTATTCACAGCTGTTGTTATTTTCCAGCTCATAGAAGAGAAAAAGCTACAGTTGTCAGACTCTGTCGGCGAGCTTCTAAGCATTGAAGTTTACAATGAGATTGATGATGCTAAAGAAGCTACCGTGGAGCAACTCCTCAGCCATCGAGCAGGTATCGACAGCTGGGAAGACGATCCAATCTGGATCCGCAAAGGGAGGGGAAGTGAGATGAATCCAGCACATCTGTGGGAGAAGACCGAGCCTCTAGAGTACATCCGTCGCCCAAAAATGTTTGCGCCGGATCCTGGGCAATGGTATTACGCGAACACTAATTATACCCTCCTCGGCCGTATCATAGAGAAGGTCACCCAACATACCGCGGAAGCAGAAATGCGTCGACGGATACTCGAGCCACTCAACCTGAAGCACATTTTCCTTGAGGGGTTCGAGAAGCCAAATCTAGGACTATTGCCAGGTCGCTATCATTGGGCCACCAATACGTTTCGTGATACTGCAGGGATATGTCCGTCTTTTCCTGAGATACGAGGCAACCTCATCGACTGCACCATCTCCAATCTTTCTACCGAGTGGATGGCCGGTGGCCTGGTTTCCTCCGCCTCAGATCTCGTCAGATTTGCGACTGCATTTCGTGACGCAAAGTTGCTCAGCGCGGACTCTTTAGCCATTATGGAAGATTGGAGACCGGCGGGCTCGTATGAGATGGGCCATGGCCTGATGAGAATAAAACGGTCTGGTGACAATGCATGGCTTGGCCATTTTGGCAGCGTCCTCGGCTTCACAGGTGCTCTTTGGTGGGCAGAGAAGGCCGATTGCGTAATATCCGTGCTGTCGAACGTGGGAGTCATGCACTCTGGCGACGTTCCATCAAGTCCTGGTCATATCATCCTCAAGTCTGACTTCTTAGAAATTGCTTCCCAGTTGGCGGCTAGCTAGCTTTAGAAATGAACGGCACATTGATACCACGACATGAATAAGCCACGGCGCGACTCAATGAAGCCACCTACCAGTCAAGGTTGACGCCATAAGATGGCAAACTTATCTACACTACTTGAAGAGATGCTGCTTTTGACACTTAGTGCTCAGATCACACATAGTTGATAGTCTTGAGGATTTCGATTGGCGTTCGCTTCATTTAGATCACAGTACTTACTAAAGTCGATGTTAATAAACATACACCTCACTTACCTGGTCCATCTGTAAAGATAACCTAATAAAGAAATGCTCCACCCAAGACACTTTCATCAAAGAGGCTCGACCCGTTGAAGAATCTTTAGGCGTAAATTGGTCGCGATGGCCTTGTTTATCAACAAAAGGTGTTACGATGTTATCAAGACACGGCGTACTTATCCCTCTAATGCAAGATATCATACCAGTTGTAAGAAACACACCAACAGTCTAGGAAGTTTCGTACACTATGTCCGCTTCATTCTGTCTTGCCTTGCACGTGTTACTAATTTTTTACGCAAGGCTCGGAAGGGATGAGCTCTTATTTAGCAGATCCAATTCCAGATGACTATTCTGGCCCGTCGTTCTTTTATTTGCTCATAAGAAGTACAATACAGAGGTAACCGCAGATTGAAACTAGGGCGATTGCCTACGGAATAACGATTAAGCTTGCGCATGATCCGGATTTTATGGACACCGTCTTGCCTTGACAGCTGTAACTTCCACAAGAGTCTACGACGAAAATGCATCACTCCAAATTCCACTTCCGTCTTTGGACCTGAGCTGCCTGCTGCTTTAACCTAAGCTGAGATGAGCCGAGGCCGAGCCGAGAGTGAGCCGATGGAGTAGTCTGAGCATCCTGCCGTTTATGGAGGTTGATGCCTATGATATTCAAAAACTAACCAGACATGATCTATACCGAAATGTGTAGATTACAAGGGATTAAGGGCTTTAGTATCTCCTTTTGTGGATGGGTAAGGATATGAGACGTCGAATATTTTTGATTGTGCCTTGCTTGAGTGGCAATTTTGGCTATTTGATCCCTTTTTCTGCCTATTTGAGGCGACTGTTGTATCATCTTGTTATTGTGAACGCTGGATGAAGCTTTACGTTCTTAGGTAACCATCGTGCTCGAGCCTCACCCCTATCGGTCTTGGACCCAGCGGCTACAAAGGACTTGTGTAACATAGCTTGTAGGTGTTATGATTATTCCGCCTTGTAGGCCTGTTCTAGCGTT